TGATCACAGCAATATATACAACAGGAGAAAAAGGGTGATGATTGACTAGCAACAGACTATGATTGGCAATACCTCAATCATGAAGAAAAACAGCACAGAAATACGGCTCCCAAAGCTGCTGGATAATTCAAAAAAGACTTGCATGGATTGAACATATCCCTCTTGTTTAGAGGATCTGTGGCTTAATATATTTTGTTTCTAGCAAATGTGAATAAGCCACATTTTGAACTTGACTGATTACTTCAGTGATTACTTCATAATAGTGCAGCTATTACTAGACTCAGGACAGTTCAACTGCCCGATCACAAAATCACATTTAACTGTAGACATTTTGTTTTCTGTCTGAAAGAGGAGGGAATGAGAGTCTGGCCTTTACTTTGCATACTATAAACAACCAAGAAACAAACTGCTTGAATCAGTCAGCCAATCCCTGGGATGCACACTTACCTGGCATCATCTAGGCAGCAAGGTTCACAAACATTGCTTACTACGTGGTGGGAAGAGCATCTTTTCAGACTAATGGGCGATTAACAGAAAATACTATTTGTGTTAGCTTTATAGTTTGCATAACAGCAGGATGACGCAGCTTGCTTAATCTCTGCTCTGGACTCAATATTGAGTAGAAGAATTTTAGATCATAAACTTTTGCCTCCATCTTGTTCTTTTTGTGTTGTTTTTCTTTTGATGGCTTATTTCTGTCTATATCCCTTGATATTATGTGCCGATGACTATTATATTGCTATTCACACCTCATCTGTACACGACATGTGGCTCTTTACTATATCCATTACCACTGTTTTTATAGTTAAATGTTTTAAAACACAAAAGAAAGATATTTAATCATTCCAACTCACCACCTTATCAGACCTGACCCTTTCTTCATCCTTTTATTAGCTTTTAAATCTTCCACATTTCCATTTTTCTTCTGTTCTCAAAACAACTTCACAGCGCCAGGGATCCGGGTTCAATTCCCTTGGGCGATTGTCTGAGTGAAGTTTGCATATTCTCTTGTATCTGCATGGTTGCTCTAGTTTCCTCTCACAGTCCAAAGACCTGCAGGTTAGGTGGTCTGGCAATGCTAAATTGCCCCAGGGAATGGGCAGGCTAAGTGATCAAGCCATGGTAAATGCAGGGTTATAGGGATAGGGTTGGTGCAGGCTCAATGAGCTGAATGGCCTCTTTCCACACTGTAGGGATTCTATGACGATTCTAAAGTTATTACAATGCAGCATTTATGGTGCAAAACAAAAGAATTTCCAACAGTTTGTGTTTTTTGTTTGATTTCCAGCATCCACAGCATTTTGCCTTTGTACCCAGAAAATTAATGTCCCTTTCCAACCAACTCCTACTTCCTACCACTGAGTATGATCAATAGCAAAACACTGGGAAGTATGATGCATTTTCTGAATGTTATGATCCTCCACTCAATGCAGACATAAATGAAATGATTTATCATTGCCTCCAATGTGTCAGTACAGCCTTTAGCTGATGAGGAGAGGACCAGATCTCAATCCCAAGACCAGTTAATCGGGCTGTAGTGATCCCCACATCTCTGTGTGCTTTAGAGACTTGGGTGGCCAAGGTGCCACAAAGCACTGGAGAAGTATGCGTTGTATGTTTTGCACAAGATCCTCCCAATCCTGCAACAGGGAAGATGGTCAAACTGCAGCAATACTCCCAACTTGACCAGCAGAGAGGTGATAGTCACTCAAAACTAGCTCATCTTCTAGTCCTGATTCCCTGAGCAACTCTGCTCCATGATGAACTCAGTCATGGTAGGAGACTCCCAAGAGGACACTGGGAACATTTTAGTGATGAACTCAAAACATCTCAGAAGAGATCAAACATCTCTGCTGAGTCATAGGGCACCCTGGCTTGACAGTGAACAAAATGGAGAAGACTCAATCAGAAAGGCACTGAATACATTGAAAGTAAAGGCAAAACCAACATGTCGGGGGGAACGCATGAGCCACCAACAACCCATCTACCCAATCTTCCAAGTACCACCTGCCCAAAATGTGGCAGAACCTGCATTGAACATAACTGCCACTTCAGAAGCCATTAGGTTGGTGGGACTACCCAAGAGCAGGCACTCCTTAACTTTTATGTAGCACATCATCAATTACTTCCAACAATTCTTTTAGTCACTCTCCCCAATTCTTCTGTTACTCCTAGCATCTATATTCCACTGATAAGAAATGTCTAAGATTGGTTGCTAAGTTACAAGCGTATATTGTAATGGAAATGCATCCTTTGATTGTAAATGACAAGATTACAGAACATGTTTCATCTCGTAGCACTGACCTACTTGACCAAAAATAGTCACAAAAAGGTATTTTATCATATTAAACATCAATTCAGTATTAAAAAAAAAGACTGCGGAAGCTGTTAAATCAGAGACAAAAATAGAAATTGCTAGAAGCGCTCAGCAGGTCTGACAGCATCTGTGGAGAGAAATCAGAGTAAATATTTCAGGTCGAGTGACCGTTCCTCCGAACTTCTGACGAAGGGTCACTCTCCCCGAAACATTACCTCTTGCAGCATCTGTGGGAAGAAATCAGAGTTAATGCTTCGGGTCCAGTGACCCTTCCCCAGGAGTTTGGAGGAATGGTCACTTGACCTGAAATATTTACTCTGATTTCTCTCCACAGATGCTGTCAGACTTGCTGAGCTTTTCCAGTAGTTTCTATTTCTGTCATCAATTCAGTGTAATTCAGGGAAGAGAAGGAAGACGTGGTTAAAATAGAGGTTACCAAAAGAGAGTACAGACAGAACAGCAGACTGACAGGAGGACAGAGATTCAGATTAAGCAAAAATCTTGCTCAATAAATTAATTTACTAGAATAAAAAGCTGAGGAAGTTAGTGCTGATGGTTTGTGCTTAAGTAGCTCAAGAATAAACCATTATAGAAAGCTCTTTAGTCAGTGGCGCTACTGTTACCCACACAGCTGTTACTAATGACCTCATGGAATGATGAATTTTCACCTCTTGGTTTCATGTGAACAGATCATGGCAGTAAATTAGCATGATCTTAGGAAAAAATAAACACAATGTGATTCCACACATGTGCCACAAACATCACTCTTGCATCCTCTGCAAACAATTAGAAGCACTAGTTTGTAACAGACTTGGGGGACTAAAAGAAACATTGACAACATTCTGCAGGGCTGAACTTTGGAAGTTTGCTCTACTTGTTGCAAAACTGGCCCCTACAGTCAGGATTCCAACTGACAAAATTCCAGCATCAAATGGAAAGACAGATATTTTAATGATTGACAAATACTTCTTGGAGCTGATGCTGAGCTATATAAGGCATAAACATCCCAGTCTAGTTCCCTACTCTGGGGTAAATTAACTGATTGCATTGGGATCATGTTTGGGAGCCATGCCAGTGTACAAAATGTTGGCAGTTTGGGTCTTTCTAGACTACTCCCCAAGCTCTACCCAAACCAGACAGTGAAAGAATTATCAAACTTAACATTTCTCTTAAAATGTTTACAATCCAGTCTACTATTAAGACTATCTTCCCTCCCACAAGTCCACCAGCACATAGGAACAGACCGTCCTATCATCGTTATATAACTCTAACCTTCAGAAACGCAGAGATTTGCTGTTGGGATTCACCTGAAATCTCCAGGAGTTGAAAGACTAAAACTCTGCCAGGACACAGTTGGAAGCAACCATGCAGTTTAAAAAAAAAATTGGTACTTGAGTTTTACACCTATTGTCTTGTAACTTAGAATATTCAATGCTTTATGTTGACGTGTACACAACACTATCTTACTGTTTATTATCAATATTTAAACATAAACTTATGGGAATCATGTATGTCACTGAATCATTACTGTGCAGGTCACATGAAACTAAACATGGCATTACAATTGACGGATTATTATTGTCAGAAACATTGTTGTGTTAGATGTAAACTTTACAGCTGAAAGGGACGGTACGATGGTTCAGTGCTTAGCACTGCTGCCTCACAGCACCAAGGGCTTGGGTTCGATTCCATCTTCAGACAACTGTCTGTGTGGAGTTTGCACATTCTCCCTGTGTCTGCGTGGGTTTCCTCCGGGTGCACCGGTTTCCTCCCACAATCCAAAGATGTGCAGGTTAGGTGGATTGGCCATGCTAAATTGCCTGTAGTGCCCAGGGGTGTGTAAGTTCGGTGGATTAGACATGGGAAATGCCAGGTTCCAGGGTAAGGATAGGAGAACAGGTCTGGGTGGGATGCTCTTCGGAGGGGCAGTGTTGACTTGGTGGGCCGAATGGCCCGTTTCCACACTGTACAGATCCTAATACTGGTTTCAAACAGAGAAAGCAAACTGCATCAAAGTAAACATTGTAAAAAAGACTCTCTTTAACCAAACAACCTTTAAATGATTACTAATTACTTTAACCTTCAAAATGGCGCAGTCAAACCAGCTCACTTTCCACAATATCCTAGGTGAGAGCTCTGCCAGTGGGCTTTCTACTACTACTTAGTACAAGCCTACGTTCACTGGTGAATGCAACTGTTGGGTTCCACACACAAAGATTGGCATCTTATGAACAGGGCCCTTGCCACCTGCTCACCATTTAAAAGTCACATTGTCTAACATAAATATGCTGGGATCTCTTCCCCCAGTGTCTCTTGCAAGACACTATAATTGGCATTAAGGGTCCTAAACAAGGGAAGAAGGAGAAAATGGACACAGGTTCCTGATGGATAAGAAACATAAACAAGTTTCACTTTAACATTAAATGACTGAATAGGAAAAATGGGTACTTTAGGAGAGATACTGAGAGGCTGGAAAGTGTTTGATCAACACAACTGCATTTTGGAGAGAGAAAACAATACACAAATCAGTGCACATTTCCAAAATGTTACCCAAAAGAAAAAAAATCAAAGAGGCTGAAAATGGAAATATTACAGTTACTTTCACTCGTGCAACATCCTGTAGCATAACACAATACATGTACATAGCTCAGGTTTGCTATAATGTTTTGAAGTGATACAGAGGCAGAATTATTTTGGTTTTATTGGACATAATACACTACATTACTATGGTTTGTGATGTTTTCAAAGTTTTGGAGGTCCTGATAAGCGCCAGCCCTCCATCTTGCCCATCTTTGTCAGAGCTGCAAGTGTGCCAAGACCAAGGCAGGCTGAGGTGCCAGTCATGTAGCTATGAGCTGTGGAAAGAAAGAAGGTATTCTCATATTAAAATTATAACATTTCTAATAATTTCATGTACCTGAAACTTTATCTTCTCCCTACATTAATGCTGCCATACCTGCTGAGATTCCAATATACTTCGGAATGAATTAGGTTGAACATTCACAAAGTTTTTCTTTAGCAAAATTATAGCAGTTCTGTTTCACATTACTGAAACAAACACAAATCAATACACTGAATGAAACATTCAGCGTGTGCTCTGGAAAGATCCCCACACACCTGAAAACACTAACTGCACACTTAGAGCAACACATGCAAAAACCTGTAACAATCACAAACTTCAATCACTTACTATTAGGGATTGCAACCCTGAAGCATATTAGAAGCACTTAAAAGCTAGCTAGGATATGGAAATTAGCATACAGAGTTTCAAATGTTTGTATTAAATCACAAATCATGGGAAATAAACTAGCGAGAGAACATTACCATGTTTGGTCCTTAATGTTTTCATAAAACCATCTATCTGGTGCTATCTAGTGGACAACATCAGAAACAACAAGTTTAAATAGCAGTATCCTTCAGGTGCATTAATTGGCGTCCTTCAATTGTGACCCCTTCGGTCAAACTCAACAGAAACAGCTCTGAAATCCAAATTCAGGAAAAGAGGGAATAATAAACTTAACTCCGATATCCCAAATTTGTATAACTTTTAAAATAAACCTGAGAATCATCACAATGAAAACCTCCCAATTACTCATCCCTATCATTGTAGGGAACCTCCAGAATAGACATTTGTTGAAAACTCCACCATTCTTTCTGATCATTACTCGAAGGCTAGCTACCCTGCTGGCAACTGTACATTATATAGTTCAAGAATCTAAAAATAAGCAACAAAATTAAATGGGTACAATTCGGAGGACACCATTCATCCTGAATGACTACACACTCGGGAATCAGCCCAGTAATTCGTTGCAAGTCCTACCCAGGACTACTTTATTTTTTTTTTAGGAAGTCCACACACCAAAATTTGGGCATGGGGTTATAATTCAACTTAACAGGAACTCTAACTTATTACTCTTGACAGTATCTGTTCACCCTGGGAAATGATAGGTTGTGTGTTACTTCCATTCTGAAAATCACCATAGTGGCTGCGGAGACCAATGTGAGAGTTTCACACTGGCACAAATGTGCAGTGTTGACCCAAAGTCAACTGATGTTTTTAATGCCATCACTTCTCCGTCATCTGGTCATTTATCCTCAGCTCTTTCTATACCCTTCCTGACTGCTAGTCTCCTGTACTCCAGTCAAGAGCGAAGACTTCCCAAATGTTGGCTGTGATTTGACACAACTTGAAATCGTACTTACATTCGTCCTTTTATTGCAAATGTGGGCAGCAAGTTGGTCTTGTGTCAACAGCATCTCACCATACAGCACATAACTTTGGGATGCAGCCATCATCCATTTGGCTGACATGGCCCAGCTGCCAGTGACACTGCTGACCCAACAGGGCAAGCATACTGTGGAGCCCTGCATGCTGATTTACTTCCATATTCAGCATTCTGTCTTACTAGGAGATGACCAATATTTTCAGATCACTTAATACTAACCAGTAATATTACCTAATACAGCATATATTTTGAACAATTGAAATTTGAGTTATCCCTGCCAAACAGGCTTACGCACACGCATACCAAAGAATTGGTTCAATTCAAACAAAAATCTACGCCAAATACCAAAAGGGGCAGAATAGATTTTGATTTAAAGATGTCAATGAGGATGATTGCTGCACTGACATTTCTTTTTCTCTATTTATTTAATGCAACATGGATGATAATGAAAAGATGCAAAACAAATTATAAGTTTAGGGTGGGAAGACCTCGTAGAAAACTAGTCCAATGAAATTAAAAATCTAGTGAGCGATGCATTGAGACAGATTAGATACAAAGATAGTCTCAGTAATGTTATCCATAATTATTTCCCCTTGACGGAGCTAATGCTCATCTGAATCTAACCAACTTGCAGGGCAATGTAAATTATTAAATTAACTTCTTTGGGAGGATAAAACGTACAACACCCTTGCTACAGATTTGCAAGTTTTTGAGAGTGTTCCAAAAGAGTGAAAGAAAATTTACCCAAAATTCTGAGAAAAAAGAAAGATGTACCCTACACCATCCTCAGTTTAAGAATCAAAGGCCTCCTCACAAAAGTCACTTGCTTATCAGTTTATTCATTTCTGACTGAACTGGTGGCATGCTATCATCAATGGTAACTTACATCATGAGCAGTGGAAAGACTGTCAATTTTTTGCCATACGGTTACAAAATACAAGAATCTGGGTATTAAGTTACCTATTTTAAAGGCAATTATCTCAAATTGAAGTTGGGCACTTGCTAGTGGGAATGGTGATATAGGGCAATTAAAATGTACCATCAATACAGGAACAGAAGTCTGCCATTTATCTTATTAAATCATTATACCCACTTTGTCCCCTGCCATTCAGCCAATTTCCTAATCAGGTCAATAAGTTGCTTTCTTTCTATGAATTTCCATTTCAGCTAATAGTTAGTACCTTGAGAGACTTTATCAAATGTCTTCTGGGACGAATCCTTTCAATTTAAAAGCTGTTTCTTGTATCTTAAGATATCCATAGATGTCTTTGCTGGCAAGTAGAGTTCTTAACCCTTAGGGTTTAACTGGTTCTGCATCTCATAACATTCTTTTCTGAACACCTTCCACTGATCCTGTTGTTTTACCCTTGAACATAATCCTTTTGTTTGCACAGTACAGGTCCCTGCATACGGATATACGTTGCATCTAGCAAGTCCAAATAAAAGTGAGGTTGAGTTCATGCAATTACCTTAAATTTCAAAAGGTGTGCTTTTTTTCCTGAGTTACATGGGAACATGGGAAGACTTTGATCCTCTGCTGTTCCCTTCATTGCAACATCTTGGCCAAAGTTGACTTGCCAACCAATAAGCAGCCTTTTTCTAATGTATTATAAACTGTGATTGTTTGAAATATGTCAATTCTTGCATTTGTCCTTATGATTGTAAGGTGGAAAGCCTTAGCAACATGTCTCCTTTCAAGAATATTCAAATTCTGTACTACCAAGTTATTATGTATTTATACAATATCTTTGTATTATCCTACATTTTACTTGCCAACTTTTTTAATGTTCTTTCCCTGCTTTTCTAATTTTACTCCTACACTGTGTGCTCCTCCAGGCTTTTGCAATATTTAGCACTTAGAATCCAACACAAGCTTCTCTTTTTGCCTCACTCTACTTTGCCCCTTGACATTCAGATGTGTCTGGATTGCTGAGTCTCATCCTTTTACTTTGGAGTGCACTTTTTCCACATTTTCCCATTTGTTCTTAAATGTCTGCCACTGCTCTCATATTGACTTATCTTTATGTAGCTGCTTCCAGTTCACCTCTGCAAAATCACATTTCAGATTGATAAATTGGCCTTTCCCTGACTAAGTACTTACACGCCTGGTCTATCTTTGTCCTTTTCCTTAACTACGCTGATTCTAACTGAATTGTGATCCCTATCACCAAAATATTCTCATACTGCTACATGTTCCAATTGCCCAACTTCATTCTGAACTGATGTGTTCAGGCAGGCGTTAATTTACAAAACTGAAAAATTAGCTCAATTGCCTTTACCTAGACAAGAATAAGAGCCTAAGAAATAGAAACAGACTCAGCCCTGAATATATTCAATGACACAGCTTTCACTTATTTCTGTAGAAGAGAATTTCATAGACTAACCATCTTCTGAAATAATAAATTGCTCATCTTTGCCTTAAACGAGAAACCCTTTCTTTCAATGCAGACTGCCCTCACAAATGCCTTATACAAATGTAGCAACGCATCCCTTTGCAAAAAAGACCAACATTCCTAAGTACTTTGTGATTCATGATCAAGGACACCCAGATACCTCTGTACTGTAGCATTCTGCAGCCTCCTTCTATTCATAATATTCTGCTTTTCTGTTCATTCTGCCAAAACAGATCTCACATATGCCCACATTATACTCCATCCAAACTTCTGCCTACTCTCTAAACTAACTCCTTGTAGACTCCTTGTTCCTCCTCAACTTATTTTCCTAACCAGCTCTGCATCATTTGCAAATTTAGCTAAAATACACAGTCTGTTCCTTCATCCAAATTACTATAACTGATAAATGTTTGAGGCCCTAGCACTTGGCTTAGTTTTCCAACCTAAAATTGACCTTTTGAACCAGAATATGTTTCCTGTTAATTAGCCAAGCCTCTATTCTTGCTAATTTAATAAACTCAATACTCCTAGCTCTAATTTTGAATAATAGTCTTTCATGTGCTATCTTATCATGTGTATTTTGGGAAACCAAATACACTGCATCAACCAGTTGCTCTTTATCCTCCCGGTTTGTTACATATGCAAATAATCCTAATGAACGTGTCAAACAATCCTCCTTTCACAAACCCATGTTAACTCTGCTTGACTGCATCGTTACTTTCGAAATGTCTGCACTACCTCCTTAATAATGGATTCTAGCATTCTTCCAATAACTAATATTAGACTAACCAGTCTATAGTGACCTGCTTTATAGCTCTCTCCTTTCTAGGAACATTTGCGGTTTTCCAAACTGCAGAGATTTTTCCAGAATCTAGACAATTTTGGAAGATTACAACTGTTGCATCAACTTCAACTACTACTTTTTAGTCCCTAGCACACGGGTCATCAAGCCCAGGGGACTATCAACCTTTGGTTTCATTAATTTGCAAGGCACCATTGCTCTAGTGATACTAACTTTTTAAAGTTCCTCTTTCCATTTTGTCTCTAGATTTGCTGCTGTCCTTGAGACACTGTCTTCTACAGCGAAAGCAGTTATTGACTTTTTTTAACCCCCAAATGCTCTGCCATTTTCTTGTTCCCCATTATTTATTCAACAGTCTCCCCACTAAGGGACCAACTTATTTATTTACTCTATAAAAAATAAAAGAAGCGGAAGAACGACGGATGCCGTGAATCAAAAACAGAACTTTGCTCTTCCAGCAACTTCTGAGGAAAGGTCATGGTACCCGAAACATTAACTAATTTTTCTTCACAGACGCTGCCTGACCTGCTGAGCTTTTCCAGCAACTTCTGATTTTGCTCTTTATTTACTCTCTTCCTTTTTATGTACTTGTAGAAGCACTTACATTTCTTACTAGTTCTTCCTCATACTCCAACTTGCCCATCTTTATTGTTACTTTTAAATAATCTTTGTTGGCTTATAAAACATTAACAATCTTCTGGGCTACCACTAATCTTTCCACATCGAAAGAGAAGATGTGCAATCTGCTACCATTCCCTAAATTGCTTAGTTAGCCAAGACCTTTCCCAGAGTCTCTTTTTCAATGGAATAGCTGCTTGTTGGGTATTAGAAAATATTTCTTTAAATGCCTGCCGCTGTTTCTCTATCATCTTACCTTTAAACTATCTTCTTACTCCACATTAACCAACTCTATCTTCATAAAGGGTTATAAGACTAAACCGTTAGCTTCAGACTCAAATCCCTTACCCTCAAACTGAATGTTAAATTCTATCATGTTATATTCACTCTTCTCCAGAGGATCCTTTACCATGAGGTGATTAATTAATCCTGTCTCATTGTCTGCTCTTAAAAATAGATTGTCCCCTGATTGGTACAATTTATTCCAGAACCAAAAAAAGTCACAAATATACCCTATGAACTCATTCTACAGGCTACTTCTGCCAATTTCATTTGTCTAATCCAAATGAAAATTTAAACTTTACCATGATTATTGTGATACCTCTCTTACAATCAATTATTCATTGCTTCATAATCCTTCCTTCAGTGTAATTCTGAAGGGAAGCTATAAACCACTCCCGGTAGTGACTTGCTTCCTTCATTATTTCTTATCTCTGCCCAAACTGGTTCTACATGTTGATTCTCTGAAACAATCATTTTCACTAGCTCGCTGATCTTATCCATTATCAAGAGCCACCCTATCCTATTTCCTTCCTGTCTTTCCAAAACGTCAAATACCCTTGAACGTCCAGATCTTAGCTCTAGTCACATTGCAAGCATGTCTCTATGATGGGAATCATATCACACAATTAATTTCTATTCATTCTATCAGCTCATTCATCTTGTTATAAATGTTGTACACATTCAGATCAAGTGCTTTTAATTCTCTTTGTTCAGCAGTTTAACTACTCTGACCTGTTTAGCTGGTGCATTCTAATATTTACGCTCTGTCCCATAATATCATCTTTGTCCCACATGTTAAAAAAAAAGTTGCAAAAAAAAGACAGGTTAAATTTAATTAGTTCCTTCATTGTTAAGTTTCCTTAAAGGGAAATATTTGTTTTGAATGTAGTGCTTTCCATCATCCATAACAAGCTTCTCAAAGAATTCAAGCACCAAACCGCAGTAACAAGCACTCACTTCTCACTCCAAGAAAGATTCCTGAAGCACAACCTCCAATGAAATAATTCAATGGATCATCTTCTGTTCCTCTGATTTGTGAAGTTAGGCAGGTTGTCACTCCAAAAATTGCACCAAGTGCAGCTAAAAAAACAAGCAAATTGACACAGGGTTTATTACATTGCTCAATATACAATAAAAGCATACAGTAATTGTTAATTACACATGGTTTTCAATCAAACAGTACTGGTAAGAATAAGCCAGATTGCAATCTTCAAAAAGGACATACTTAATACAATCTGATTTCTTTATGTGGATGCCAAACAAAATGACATATTTTAATTGATCCAGTTTTTTGTCTTATTATTTTAAAGTATTTGATTCAAACGTAATTTATATTCATTTCTAACCATGTCTTTTTACCTTACTTTCTTGGTAGACTTGAATAATCTAGATCTACTTTATGTAACTGGTATTATTTAATAATTGGACTTGAACTGTTTCACCTTTGATGTGTGGCTGTTCTGGAGTTTAAAAATAAGGAGATCTTGCTGAATCTACACACGGTACTAGTCAGACCACACATGGAATACCGTGAAGAGTTTTAGTTCCCTTACCTAAGGCAAGATATACTGGTATTGGAAACAGTCCAGCAACATTCAGTCCAGTTCATTAGGTTAATTCCAGGTATGGAGAAGAATGAGAGGCGATTGGATTGAATTGAAACATATGACTCTTAGAGAGCTTGACAGGAGAAGTTGTTTCCCCTCATGGGAGAGTCTAAGACCAGACGACATAGCCCAGTGAAGGGTTGCCCATTTAAGGCAAAGATTAGGAGGACTTTTTTCCCCTCAGAATCTGAAATTCTTTACTGCAGAGGGCTGCCATAACTAGGTCACTGCGTACATTCAAGGCTGAGATAGACAGATTCCTGTTGATTAAGGGAATCAAGGTTTATGGGGATAAAGCAAAGAAGTAGAATGAAGATTACCAGGTTAACCATGATTTCATTGAATGGTATAGTAGACTTGAGAGGCTGAATGGCCTTATGTCACCAAACACATCTTGTTTTACTACTTCCTCCTCGGGTCTCAGTATACACCTTCTCCATCTTAATAGAATCCTAGAATCCCTACAGTGTGGAAGCAGGCCATTTGGTCCATTAAGTCCATACGGACGCTTGGAAGAACATCCCCCCCAAATCCACCCCACCCTCCTTTCCCTATAAGCCTGCATTCCCCATGGCCAATCTACCTCGCCTGCACATCCCTGGACACCATGGGCAATTTAGCATGGCCAATCCACCTAACCTGGACATCTTTGGACTGTGGGAGGAAACCGGAGCACTTGGAGCAAACCCATGCAGACACGAGGATAACGTGCAAACTCCACATGGACAGGTGCCCAAGGCTGGAATCGAACCTCGGTCGCTGGCGCTGAGGCAGCGGTGATAACCACTGAGCCACCATGCTGCCCCAAATCAATCTAATTTTGTTCCAACACCCAATCATACAACTATACCTCAACAGTCTGAGACACTGGCAACAACAACTAGTCTCTTTCCTGCGGAACAATTTCAAAGATCGTCCCATCAACATTACATCAGAATGGGGATGCTGACTGGGAGTGCAGAGTGCCAATATAGTTCACAACTCCTCAGATACTGAAACAGTCCATGCCCGCAGTCAGCAAGACCTGAATAAAATTCATGCTTGGGCTGATAAGAGGCAAGTATCATTCAGACCACGAGTGCTATGAACATCTCCAAAATAGATTATCTATCACTTTCATTTGACATTCACTGCTATTAACTAATGGGGGTTACCACCTTCCTGAAACTGAATGAAAAATCTATTTAAATCCAGTGGCTACAAGAGGAGGCCGGGGCTGGGAATTCCTTAGTGAGTAACTCATCTTCAGACTTCCCCAAATTCTGTCATCATCAATAAAAGGCACAAGTCAGGAGTTAAGTGTAATGTGTTCCAACACATCTAGAAGAGGGCAGCTCCAACAAAAGAAGCAAAACCAAAGCAGGTTGCTTGATAAACACCGCATATCACCTTAAACATTCCCTCGATCCTCCATCGACATACAGTAGCTGCAGTGTTTACCATCTGCAAGCGGCACTATAGCAACTTGCCGGGCTTCTTCAAAGCACCTTCCAAATCAAAACTCTACCACCTAGAAGGACTAGGATAACAGATGCAAGGAAACACCACAATCTGCAAGTTTCTCTTTAGTCACAGATAATCTTGATGATTTGGAATTATAAAATCGTTCTTTCACTGGGTCAAAATTCTGGAACTCCGTCTTGTACTTACAGCAATAGTTTAAGAGCATGGCTTACCATGCTCTAGAAACAGGAGTAGACCGTTTGTCCCCTTGAGCTCGCTCTGCCATTCAATGGAGTCATGACTGATCCGACATACCTCACCCACTTTTCTGCCCTTCTCCCATAATCCTCAATTTTCCTACTTACCAAGAATCTCTCCCTCTCAGCCTTAAATACACATAGCTTCTCAAGGATAATTAGGAATGAGCAATAATTGCTGTGTTTGTCAGTTACCCAGTTGTCAGTTTGTCAATTGTCAAGACCATATACAAAGAACTTTCCACATCTCCTTTACAACTGTTGCCATCATCTCCTTTGTTTGCATTTGCCCATTTTAACACACAAACAGCTCCCTTGCTGATAACAGCCTAAAATTCTACTCATGTTGGTCACATTGTTATCGTTCCAGTTTAGGTTTATAAGAATTCAGCAAAACTACTGAAATGTTCCAAAGGAGAGTGACTTATAAACCACATCCAAATTGTTCAAGAAGTACACTCAATAGAATATTCTCATTTCTCTTTCTTAATACTTCGCTTCCACCAGTACTTTTATACTTAAGGTAAAATTTATGTGCAACTTCTCTTTAGTTGTGAATATCATAGTGCCTCAGTGCAGCCCACACTGATCCGAGCATTCAAGTACCCCACAGAGTGTCAATGCCTCCTAAGAATTCAGGCTGTCAAGCAGAACTATATTCCCCAGAACCAGAAGCATACCCAGTACAGAAGTAAAATAATAGATGTTTTGATGAAAATGGATTCTCCTGAGAAACAATGAATGGAACAAGCTTCTTTGAAAATAACAATGGACTAGGCTATACCATCCACAATGCTGTACTTACCCATAGTTAGGGTGCCACTGGTTGCTGTACGCACTGCTTCAACAACATTTTTAGGTGGCAATGCAACAATATGATAGGCTGAGCCAACGAGACCTAGAGAAGAGAAAGTACAAAAATAAGATAATCACATCAAAATTTCACATTCTGTTGAAAATGACTACTATTAATACACAAAACGTTCCCTGCCTACCTGGACCACAAACAATTCTCAAATGTTATCCACAAGCCTGAGTTACAAGATCCAAAATATGATTGCTCTGAAGATTTATCTTTGTTTCAAACTCAAATAATCACATAGCTAAGTGAAAAACCTAACTAAAAAACAAAAGGTGCATTCCATCTAATCAACACATACACATGCATGAAAGTTAAAGAACTCACTAAACGATTCATGTCTTAAACTTAAATAAAAGCATTAAAACAGAATCGCCTCATCTGGAATGGGAAAATAGGTCAAATGGTAAGATGGTTAAAAAATCAATAGCACACATCCAAGGAGAAGTTTTATAACTCTCAGCAAAGATACGTTCCATTGAGAAAATGGCAAACCAAGAAAGTCAAGGACGCTATCAAAAGTACAAAATAGAAGGTTAGCAGTAGGCCAGGACATTGGGGAAGCTTCAGAATCAGCAAAAGGATGCCTTTTAAAAAACAAAAAAAAGAGAGAAATGAGCAAGAATTAGAAAGAGACTGTCATGGTTTCCATGAGTATCTAAAAAGAAAAGAGTAGCTAAAGTAAACATTGGTCCATCATAAGGAAGAGACTAGGGAATTATGGATGGATTATAAGGAAATTGCAGAGACCTTGACAAGTACTTTGTATCTGTCTTCACAATAGAACTTACAAAGCATCTCAAGAATACTAGAAAATCAAGGTTTAAAACAGAGGGAGGAACTATAATTTATCATAATCATTAGAGAAAATGTATGAGGAAATAATGGAAGTTAAAGGCTGACAAGTTCCCAGATCTGATAGCCTACATCCTAAAGTCTTAAAAGAACAGGCTGCAATCTTCCAAAATTCCAAACATTTTGCCATGGATATTGGAAAACTGGAGTTTGGAAAAGCCAAGATTGGAAAACCACAGCATATATATTCAGAAAGGCTGGAGACAGAAAGCAGACAACTACAGACCAGTTAGCCTAAGTCTGTCGTTGGCAAAAAAAAGAAAATTCAATATTAAGGAAGCAGTAGCAGGACACTTAGAAAAGCAGTTTACATGTCATGCATAGTCAATGAAAAAGAAATTGTGTTTGACTAGTTTATTAGCAAGCAGATGGACAAAGAAGTACTAGCAGATGCAGTGTAATTGGATTTCCAAAAGACATTCAAAGAGTACCAAACAAAAGGTTACTACTTAAGCTCATGGTTGGAGGGCTGATGCAGTAACATGACTAAAGATTTGGTTAACTAACAGGAAATAAGAATCTTGATAAAAAGGTAATTTTCCAGTTGGAAAACTGGAAAAACAGGAGGCAAAAGGAATCAGGGCTGGGCCTCAGCTATTTATAATCAATATCAAAAATTTAGATAAAAGGAACCAAATGCATTGTAACATCAGCAAATTTAACTACAAGATGGGTTGGAAAGCAAGTGTGGGTAAGATGAGAGTTTGCAAAGGGATATAGACAGGCTAAATGACTGGGCAGAAAGCTGGCAGATGGAATATACAGTGTAAAAATATGAAGTTGGCTATTTTGATGAGAATTGGGGAGCAGAATATAACTTAAATGGTGAGACACTGCAGAATGCTGTTGAGGAAGGGATGGGGGTGGCTAGATGTCTTTGTATATTGGTGTCACGCAGAATCAATGACAAGAGTACAGATGTGACGTGAGCTGAAAGATGATTGTCCAGTCTGAGTGAAGCTGAAACAACGGATAAGCAATCTGACAAATACAATGTCAATGGACCTGTCAAGAGATTGGAGGAAAGAGCTGGGTGGCATTAATCAACATATGGAAGCAGGCCCAGAGTCTAGAGATGATGTTGCCAGGAGTCACCATGTAGATGGCAAATTGGGGAGGGCAGGGGCAAACGTTGAGAGCCTAACAGTGCAGAGACAGGAAGAAAAGCCATTGCAAGGAATGATCTGTCTAGTGGGAAGAGACAAAAGGGAAACCAAGGGAATCTCGTCTGATCAGGCTGGAGAAGAATAACATGATGAAGCATGTCAAAGGCTGCTGAGGGATAAACGGTTAATGCACGTGGGTCAAGGCAAACATCACTTCCAAATGCCAAGATTATTTGTGGGCACCAGTCCTGATCTCTGCTGTTCCTATCATCACTCATCAGCTCAACAGAATCAGACAAAGAAATGCAGCATTATTTTCACACTGATCTGGCACCTCAATTGTCTTTTTTTGCATTAAAGGCAGACAGTGCAAAAGAGGTCCATGCTGAGATGTACAGGACAAAATGAAGTTGAAAGAACAAAACAGGGAAACAAGCATTAGTACAAAGAAAGCTTACATGGTTTCAGAAGACAAACTGTATACATAAGATACATGAGGCTAGAAATGGTTTTATTCACTATCACAGATGAGCCAGATTCACCCATGAGAACATGCTCACAAAATCTAAAATGGAAAACCATTTTGTTCTAAAGCGTCAGGATCTTGCTTTCAGGATTGTATCTGAAGAGGAGGAATGTATTGGGAATCTGGCGAGAGGGCAAATGAGTGGCATGCCATGAATTGCTCCTCGGTCAGGTCAAGCACAGAACCAATGCATCAAATGGCCTTCTTCCATGTTCAACAATCTTATGATTGTGTATTCAACCCATTAAGAGCTACCATGTACCTTGCTTATTAATTGAGGCGATGGCTTAGTGGTATTATCTCTAGATTATTAATCCAGAGACCCAAACAACATTCTGGGGACCTGGGCTCAAATCCCACCATGGCAAATGGTGAGATTTGAATTCATTAAAAATCTGAAATTAAGAATTTAATGAAACCGTTGTCAATTGTTGGAAAAACCTGTCTGGTTCACTAATGTCCTTTATGGAAGAGTGAATGCAGGAGTTGAGAGGGGCCACATGGAAGGTCCGTGAATGACTCTAGAGTTCATCAAAAAAAATCCTAGCGGTGAGCCTTCACAGCTGTCTGAAAAAGCAGCAACCTTCACAGCTGGCTGACTGACTGTGAAGTTACAAGCATCTCTGGAACTCCAGAGCAAGTGGTGGAAGCTGGTACAATCACAACATTTTAAAAGGCATCTGGATGGGTACATGAATAGGAAGGGTTTAAAGGGATATGGTCATATGCTGGCAAATGGGACTGGATGAAGTTAGGATATCTGGTCAGCATGACAAGTTGGACCACAGGGTCTGTTTCCATGCTGTATAACTCTATGTCTAAACTATCATCATAAAATGGGTTTAGGGGTGTGTAGAATAGGTGGGTGAGAGGGGGAAATCGGCCTGGGTGGGATGCTCTGAGGGTCGGTGTGGACTTGTTGGACTGAAGGGCCTGCTTCCACACCGTAGGGATTCCATGATGAGATGCCCACGTCCCATAAATGAATGAATAAATAAAAAAAATGACACAGCCCACAAGAGGCCACCTGGAGAGAGAACATGGTTTAATAATGTCATTGTGCTAGCAATTCAGTAATACATTCCTGTCAGAGGTCTAGGTTCAAGTACCAGCCGCTCTAGAAGTGTGTCATAACACATCTGAACAGATTGATTAAAAAGACATAGGTGTCCCTTTACAAATTACTGTTCAATCAGCTGCCAGCATCTTTTCAGGCAGGGCCCGCCGGGCTCGCCAGGCCCCCGCCCCCCGAGCTGAGCGTGTACGTGAAATAAAATACTCAGTGCCTCCTGCCCACTACCACCACTTTGTAAAGGTTAAACTTTCAGCTGGAGCTCTTCCCTTCCCCCTCAGTACTACTCCCGTTTCCACCGCCCGAGCCCAACACTCACCGAGGCCGGCCCCAGCCTGTGTGGTGGCCCAGGTTTTGGTGGGACAGTGCTCTCCATCTGCCGAGTCCCAGTAGCCCATGGCCGAGTGCCTCAAGGACACGGTCACTGGCGAAAGCCAGTCAGATATCGCGAGAGGATGGCGTCCGGCGGTTGGCGGGGGAAACCACGTGATCGACGGCGCGCATGAGCGGTGATGTCGCCCTCAGTCGAAGCTCCGGATGCCGTGGCGGTGGAGTCTGGCTGCTGCACACCAACTGGTGGGTTTGTGCGAAGGATTGTCCGACTTCGAGGCTAACCTTGAGGGCTGGAATGAGAATGACTGAGGTGGATTAGATGCGTGTTAAATTTAGGGCTCGCAGAGTTTCGGATGGGCTGAGGTTCAGTGTGGGAGATCAAAAACAGCAAGTGCTGGAGAAACTGAGCAGGGTCTAAGTAGCATCCTGAAGGTCACTGGACCCGAAACGTTAACTCATTTTTTTCTTCACAGATGCTGTCAGACCTGCTGAACTTTTCCAGCAACTTCTGTTTTTGTTTCTAAGCAGCATCTGTTGAGAAAAGTGCAGAGTTTGTGTGTCGAGGCCTTTCTTTCTTCATAGATGCTGCCAGACCTGCTGAGTTTCTCCAGTACTCTCTGGTTTTATTTTGTTTTAGTTCAGATTTCCAGCGTCCTCACTATTCCGCTTTTCTGTCAGTGTGGGAGACATTGAGTAGTAGAGTATTACAAGGTGGATTGGCTATGCTAAATTGCCCGTAGTGTAGTGTTCAAGGATGTGTAGAATAGGCAAGGCTGGAGGTAACACGAGCATTGCAGCACTCGAGAGGGTAAAAAAAAACACCAGTAACGAAAGTTATACTTTGACGTGAACGTACTGGAGCTCCATTTTGAAATATCAATGAGTCAGACCAGTACGTGTTACTCGCAAGTTTTACTTTCCATCTTTCTATCTGGGTAACAGGTGGATTGGGACAAGACGCGGACAGGTACGTTTGCAAGGTGGTGGTAGGTAGTCTTGGATATAGGGTCACATCTCAGCTCGGGGTTAAATGGGTTGGTGAGTTCACAAATAGTACGGTTCAACCTCAAAGTGTACTCATGGCAGAGATGGAGTTAGTGCATTGGGATTGGGAATGCCTTTACTGTTTAACTGGGGACAAAATTTCTACTCCAGATAAGCACTGTGACAAATGAAAGGCACTGCAGCAGTCTGAGGGTGGTGGTGATGAGGTATGAGTGTCAGAAGCATACATGTAAATGAATAAATGTATTGTGAGATAATGTCACTGAGGGACACCATTGAGACAAGATATAGAAACAGAAATCACAATTGGCTGCTGATGTCCCAATGCCTCATTTAAAGTATGTATTCTCTCATTTAAATCTTTAAAGAGCAGTTACTTCGTTGTGTTGTTTGTTGACCTTTATTCAGAGGCAGAGGAGTGTGCATCAGCCCCCAATTCAGAATTCAAGTGGGAAATAACTCTAATCACTGTTATTTTTGGGTCCTTCAAAAGATAACTATACTCTGACTGGAGCCATCTGTAAGTGACAGTTGGTGGTCAGAGAATTCAGTTCACAGACAGATTAGTATTTTTCACCCAAGTACAGAGAATAAAATACCTAATGTATTTCAACTCACTAGTTACCACTGTAATGAGTAATGTAAAATTCCTGAGCAGCAATCAGTTCAGTTTGAAGTTGTAAATGTGGTCAGAAACAGAGAGTAATCAAGTTATCTCTTTGTTATTTTATATATTACAGACACTGGTTTCACTGTGTAAACTTTTGTTTATTTGTATCTATTGCAAATAAAACTTTTTGATCATTTCATAAGAGTGCCTATCAAGTCTGAATTCTGCAAATAGAAGATAATTTGTAATATAGCATACAATATGCTCCAAGAATAGGGGAATGAAGCAAGTGTTCTTTGTTCCAGTCCCAAAGCTGTGCTTATTATTCATTTAGATATTGGGCAGAAAAAAATGCCTGGATTACAGGGGACAGATCTGTTTGTAGGGATAACCAATGATTCAGATGTCTGATGTACAAACTCCAGAATTGTGACAGTAAGGAAATGCAACAACAAATTTTCATATAATGAAATTTCTAACACTGAATGACTTGAATAAGAAGTTCATTTGTTTTTGCAGATGTTGGTTGGTGGTGAGGGAGATTTTAGCTAGTACACTGATAAAACTCCATAGTTGTTTCAAATAGTGTTACAGAATTTTTTATATCCATCCAAAAATGCAAACAAGGCTGGTATGTAATTATGAAGCAATCTATTCTCAACCCATCTTGAGATTTCGCATAGGTTGCATTTTTTTGTGATATTATCATTTTATACACCTGAAATATTGTCTTCTCACTTCTAAGGTTACGGAATGGTAAATCTATAAAGTCTTTAAATTTGGAAGATACCATATGAGTCAACTCAATTTTCAGCATTTTAACATTAAAAGCTTGCATTTGAATGGGCTTACATTCGCCAGTCCTTATTTTATTAACAGGCACACTAGCCTAAACCTATCACAATCAGAAAATTTCTCTACTTGCAAGACATCACATTCAAAGCCAGATACAGATATTCACAATTACCACCATTTTACTTAATTAAATGATACCTGTTGTAATTAAACTCATGCCACTGTATGATTAATCATGGAGAATCATAATCAAAACTTGTCTCTTAAATATATCTTAACCTTAGCAGATTTATTTAATTGTAGACATAATTACAGAGCAATCTTCAATATCCAGAATTGTAATACAGTAAGCAAGGTTAGCTTACAGTTTACATTCAAAATGACACAGAAAAATCTAGACTACTTCCAAAATTAAAACATAAATAAACATAAAACCTTTTCCCTTAATAGGCATGTGCATGTAGCTTTGGTGCCTGACTGATGCTGACAAATTAGTTTCTGTGGCTGTTGACACCATCCACACTGTTGTCTTCTTTAATTATCATCATCTTGTTCACTCTTAAGTAACAAAACATTCACTTCATCTATTTATACCGAATACTACTGCTTTCCTTTTATTTAGGTTTGGAGATAAACATTAGTGCTAAAACAATCTGCTTTTGAGTTTACTGTATTTCAACTGAATTCAATTAAACTTTCAACATGCACTGCGTCTTTCAGAAATGCTTTAAAAAAACATTCATTTTCTAGCTTTTCTGGAATTGTACTTAAATATTTTTATCCCTACTTTCTAATTTTGTCTGGCCTCTATGGGGGTTAAATTGATTTACTCCAATCGGGGATTGTGATGAACCCAAACTCAATAAATGGAATGCAAGTATAATATGTTGTGCCGCATGCTCATTGTAAGCAATAACCCCATTACATTTGTAGTCTAGCATTACTTAAAGCTGGCCTGTATTCCTTAAAGCTCGTCTGCACCTGTTACAGGTGCACCGTGGATACCAAGATCATAGAACAGTACGCAATGCAGTAATCAACAATAATAAAGCGTTGTTTTCACATGGTCCGCTAGAGGTCTTTGTCAAGAGATGAAACAGCACACAAATGTCCAGTTTTTCTGAAGAAGGGTCTCAACCCGAAACGTCAGCTTTCCTGCTCCTCTGATGCTGCTTGGCCTGCTGTGTTCATCCAGCTCTACACCTTGTTATCTATAAATGTCCAGTGCTGTTGGGGCATACTCAGAAAGTAATGGCAAGAAATAGCTAAGCACACCTCAAGCAATATGTTCAGGAACAGATCTGCTCCCTCAAGACTCTACAGATCAGCCTTTAATTTTGCTGATATCGCTAACCTCTGCATTTGAATTTGTTTGAGACTGAGATGTTGTGGCTGTGGTGCCATCCTAATGGAGATTTTGTCCATAATAAAAACATCTTCATTCAATAGTGTGTTGGAAAATCATAGAATCCCTACAGTGCAGAAAGAGGCCATTCGGCCCATCAAGTCTGCACCAATGCTCCGAAGAGCATCCCACTCAAACTCAGCCCCTTACTCTGTCATGCCTTGGCTTCAATGAAGATAAACCAATTGCGTTCTTAGAGCTGCACTACTGCTATACTTAAGGCTGTAAACTTTCATCGGATTGGGTTTTATCACCTTTTTCAGCTAATTCAATTAGTCATAGTCATACAGCACAGAAACAGGCCATTCGGCCCAACGCATCCATGCTGACTAGATTTCCTAAACTGATCTAGTCCCATTTGCCTGCGCTTGGCCCATATCTCTAAATCTTTCCTATCTATGTACCTGTCCAAATGTCTTTTAAATGTTGTAATTGTACCCACCTCTATCACTTCTGCTGGCAGCTCATTCCATATATGCACCACCCTCTGCGTGAAAAAGTTGCCCCTCGTTTCCCTTTTACATCTTTATCCTCTCACCTTGAAAATATGTCCTCTAGATTTGGATCCCCTACCCTGGAGAAAAGACCTTGGCCAGTGACCTTATCTATACCCTTCATGATTTAGGGGCTTTATTCTGTTCCTAGTTACTCTTTTGCTGTTAGTATATTTGTAGAATCTGTTTAGATTGACCTTTACCTTGCCTGCCAAAGCTATGTCCCCTTTTTGCCCTCCTGATTTCCCTCTTAAGTGTACTCTTGCACTCTCTGTAGTCCTGAAGAGATTCTCTTGATCCCAGCTGCCTATACTTGACATATGCCTCCTTTTTTTTGACTAAAGCCTTAATCTTTCTAATCATCCAGTGCCCCCTTCTCCTGCCACAACCTTGCTCCTCAGACTAGCAGGAACATGCTGGCCCTGAACTCTCGTTATCTCGCTTTTGAAAGCCCACCACATGCCAGATATCCCCTTACCTGAGAACAGCCTCCCCCAATCAACTTTTGAAAGTTCCTCTCTAATACCATCAAAATTGGCCTTGCCCTAATTTAGAACTTCCAACTTGTGGACCAGACCTGTCCTTTTCCATAACTACATTAAAACTAATAGAAGTATGGTCACTGGTCCCGAATTGCTCCCCCACTAACACCTCAGTCACTTGCCCTGCCTTATTTCCAAAGAGGAGGTCAAGGTTTGCCCCTTCTCTAGTAGGACCATGAGCAGAAAACCTGCACTGTCTCACAACAGCGTTATTTGCAATCCCTCTTGGGGTGCAGTATGACGGAGATGAAGCACAGGCAGTGGAGAGAAGAAACAAAGCACTGAAGGAGGAAAAGGAAAGCTCTCAATAGAAGGCTTTGTCCACCTAGGATCATCAGGGAGTATTTCTCCTACCTTTACCTTAGCTGGAAGCTGTATCGAGGGTTTCTGTGATTCAGCACAGCAGTGTTCATTGAACTGTGCCACCTCCTTCAAGCAGACCTACAGTGACAGAACAGGGCAAGGATAAAACTGGAGATCACTGTGGCCCCAAAATCTCTAAAACTTGGGATCCTTCTGGGCTGGAATTGACAACGTTGCCAATATCTCTCAGTTTGTTCTATGTCACAGAAAGGCCAGGAGTGGAAACTTTATAGTCTTTTGTCAAACTAGAGAAAAGTAGGAGAAGTGGCCATGTGGCCACTGGTGTAAGGTGCCTCAGACCCTCCTCTGTGAGTGTCATATAATTCAGGCCAGCCAGCCTGGACCTGTCATAGTAATATCAGAGCAAGTCAGTATTCACATTATCAAAACAGTACTCTGGTCTATTCTTTCAATGTCTAGCTGTCAGGAAAAGTTCTGATATTGCAGTACAGTAGATCAATGTCAAGTTCTGTCTTTTTGTCAGTTTCATGACCACAGTGTTAAAAGTACCTACTGGCCATGGTGTATTGACCTGACTGTTTGAAGGCTGGCAATATTTAGGTCATCTTTTAAGGTCTTTTTGCTAGAAATGGCTTCTCAGTTATGCTTCTGAATGATCCCATAGATATCCAACAATTGATCAGAATCAAGTTTACACTTGAAACTGCCTACGTCCCAATGTCTTGTTGTTTTACCAGTCACCCATTGTAACAATGTAACAAGCCTGAAGAAAGGTAATACCCGAAACGTTGACTCCTCCTTTCCTCCAGATGCTGCCTGGCTTGCTGTGTTCTTCTAGCCTCCTGTTTGTCTACCTTATGTTTTCCAGTTTGCCTGCAAAAAAGGGCTGAGACTTGTACAGGATTGGATTTAAAGGAAAGTATTTTAAATCAAATAATTCTCACCTCCTTGTCTGTTATTTTGTTATCCAATGATAAGCACAATATGAAAGTGTCACCATTAAGAGCAACAATCTTTGAATGTCTTACACTAGATACTATTGAAGCTTGAGTTTGAGGATCCCCATTGAAATTAATTAGAACCTTCAGTAATGAAGTAATTTGGTTGTACATCAGCTGGGTCGAGGCTCTTAGCAGCATAACTGCTTTTTGCTAATCCTCCACACTTTCTCAGCATGTACTTTCTTACCAATAATACAACTACTGTTAGGACAAATCTTCAGGCACGTCTCTTCACCATAACTATAGAGTGATATAACACACAGGCACAAGAGAGAACAGCGTAGTGAGAGAAAATGATGCATCCATCAATAAGTTAGGTAATGTAGAATGGGAGTGACATGTGAAAGAAACCTAGCTCTTGCTTTTTAGAATACCTATAATTATTTTCTTACTTCATTTGTATAGCTGTATAGTATGTATGCAAATGAAAACATGTTTTCACAATTGTCAATTTTCATGAAACTGCTCCATTAAGCAACTGTTAGGATTTAAATAACTGTCGTACGTGTATATAAACGTTGTAATATGTAGTTCAGGTTGTACTCACTAAACCAGTACTGAGGGAGTGCTGCATTGTTGTAGCTGCTACTATCCGATGAGATGTTATTCAAATTCCCCTCTGCTGACTTGGCTGATTCACGTGAAAGTAAAAGATGCTATCACATTATCTGAAGAGGTGTGGTTCATTTCCCTGGTGTCTTCCTCAACCAAAATCATAAAAACTGTCATTCATCTCATCATTGTTTGTGAAATCTTGCTTAGAGAAGAATGCTACAATATAATAGCAATTACTGCACCTGAATGTGAAACATGTGAAATTTTTTGAGAGATGTGTCAACATCTCAGACAATAGCTAGGCTTTTTGGTGCTTTTGATTGTGCATTTGTTTAATCTAGCTTGTGGCAGGCAATATTTAAGCACAGGCATTTAAATCAATCTCTCTTATCCCAGTGTTGGAATCATACCTCCACTTCCTCTGTTGTGAATACTTATGAAGAATAGACCTTTATTTAACTTTTTTGTTAAAAAGTGTAAAATTTAAAACTACTTTCTTAATCATCTACTTGATTTTAAATTGAATATTTATCCAGAATGTATCCACCGGGTTATTTCTTGATATGGCTTGATACTCTAATGGTATATGAGGCACTGTGAGAAAAATCACCATTTTCTTTATTTTCAAAGAGCTATTATAGACAGTGCCTCCACAGGGCATACCTGAATCCCAAATATTTAATGGCTATTTACATATGAAATTGGGAGAGGTTCTTAATACTCACTACCTCATCAGCCATCTACATCTTCAACCTTGGCAATATCTAGCTGCAATATTTCATACCTTGTTAGAGTAACACTGGGGTGTGTGTGTGCTGAATCTACAGAATCAGACACATCCGTGAAGTTTGTGCACGTGCTTTGAGATGCTTCTTCCTGTTTTCATTCAGCCTCCCTTTTGCAGGACAATTGTTCATCATGGCAGGACCCTCTGAATAGCGCCGCTTCTGGCTCCGGTGGAGAAGGATGCGGTAAGTCCCAGTGATGGGACTGTGACAGTCCCAATGAGTATTATTGCAGATGTGCTCCTCTGTGATTCCCAGGCGCCTCAATGCATTCTTCACCTCCTTTTCCTCTTCGTTTAGAGGGAGAGAACTGGCTAGGTGTGCCGGATTCAAGTGGAATGGTTGGTATGGCTCAGGACATTCCATTCCCTTCAGCCATGGACTGTCCAGGATGTTGGCCAGGGTGAAGCGGTTTGTTGGAACAGTTTGAAGAATTCCATGAATTAATTTCTGGCAGGGATCTGATACATAGGCTGGAATTGTGTACGATCCTAGTAAAATGCACTTTTTCAGCTTCCTGACAGTTTCCGCATGGAAAGGCAAGGTTGCCGTCACCATGAAGTACAGTAGGATGCCCAGAGCCCAGATGTCCACGTGAATTCCAAAGTAGCTATTTTCTTTAAAGAGCTCTGGCGCTGCATATGGAGGAGAGCCACAAGAAGTGTTTAAGGGTTCCGACAAAGGACACACAGCACTGAAGCCAAAGTCACCCAACTTCACACAATTAGCAGCTGAGTAGAACACATTTTCTGCCTTGAGATCCCGATGGATCACATTGTTGTCATGCTGAAAAGGAATATGCAAAGTTAGGCAAATATGAATTGGGGAAGAAATAGGTGAGAAAAATGAGGAGTTGATAGTAGGTTCGTTGTAATAAACGTAGTAGGAGCACCAGAGCTATCACCAGCTCCAACTGCATCACTCCATTCCAATAATGACTTCTTCCCACAGCATAGCCAAGATTAACATTTCTAAGGTTATTAACTCTGCCTCTTCTCTGACACTGTGGGCTGGATTTTCCAACAGGTTTCAGGGCTCTGATGCTCAGACCAAATCGGGATGCTCTAGCCTACATGTACCACTAGTGAGACTGGCTAAGCAGTTCTCTGGGAGTTGGCCTTCGACATGATTCTTTAGGCCTTCCTTATCTGAATAACTTTATCTGAATAAAGTACGGGTAATTCTTCTACAGCTCCCAGAGTGCCAGAAACAAATGGATTGAATTCAACAACACGCCGACAATTTGGTAATCTTCTCTTCATTTTCTGTTAAATCTACACAGTCTTTTCTGATGGATCTGCACTGTGGATTTCTTTCCTGCACCGGGTTCCTTTCCTGCATCCTGGATTCCTTTTTTACAAGGGAGTTCTTTCTGTCACTATGGATTCCATTAGTCAAGCACAGTTGTAAGCATTTAGAAGATGAGGAGGATAAAAACCAACAGTGATATATACCTGAGATAACAAAGTGTAGAGCTGGATGAACACAGCAGGCCAAGCAGCATCAGAGGAGCAGGAAGGCTGACGTTTCGGGCCGAGACCCTTCTTCAGAAATGGGGGAGGGGAAGGGGGTTCTGAAATAAATAGGGAGAGAGGGGGAGGCGGACAGAAGATGGATAGAGGAGAAGATAGGAGGAGAGGAAACAGACAGGTCAAAGAGGCGGAGATGGAGCCAGTAAAGATGGGGAGTTAGGGAGGGGATAGGTCAGTCCAGGGAGGACGGACAGGTCAAGGGGGCGGGATGCCTCCTGCAGTGCCACAACGATGCTACCCGAAGGTTGCAGGAACAGCAACTCATATTTCACTTGGGAACCCTGCAGCCCAATGGTATCCATGTGGACTTCACAAGCTTCGAAATCTCCCCTCCCCCTACCGCATCCCAAATCCAGCTTAGCTCGTCCCCGCCTCCCTAACCTGTCCTTTCTCCCACCTATCCCCTCCTCCCACCTCAAGCCCCACCCCCATCTCCTACCTACTAACCTCATCCCGCCCCCTTGACCTGTCCGTCCTCCCTGGACTGACCTATCTCCTCCCTACCTCCCCACCTGCACTCACCTTTACTGGCTCTATCCCCGCCTCTTTGACCGGTCTGTCTCCTCTCCACCTATCTTCTCCTCTATCCATCTTCTATCCGCCTCCCCCTCTCTCCCTATTTATTTCAGAACCCCCTTCCCCTCCCCCATTTCTGAAGAAGGGTCTAGACCCAAAACGTCAGCTTTCCTGCTCTTCTGATGCTGCTTGGCCTGCTGTGTTCATCCAGCTCTACACCTTGTTGTCTCAGATTCTCCAGCATCTGCAGTTCCTACTATCTCTGAAACAAGGTAAAGAGACTTGGTCACATGCCAATTGATTATGCAGTGTCATATAAGCAAATGAGCACCACAGGTAACTCCAATTCATTTTAGTGAAGAATAAGTCTTTTAAAATATGAGTAGTATTTGGATGAGGGCAGAAGAAGAAAAGAATGACAAACCTTGTAAGGTCTTCTTCATTCTCTGAATGTTGTGGCAACCTCTACACTATGCTGCTACCTGGTCATTCCATAAGGACTTTGAAGTATATAAAATTGATACTGCTTTCTTCCTCTCACAATATCCTTTGGCAGTCTGAAAACTAAATGCAATCTGGTGGATATGTCAGACTTTAGAAATGATGCAGGACCGGAAAGATTATATAGACAATCTACCTTAAACCATTTGTCTTTAATATGAGATTGTCCTTTAGGTGAATGTTTGGTATCAGTCTAACTCAATCATGTGTTAAAAAAAAGGCAATATCACTTGAATGATGTCAATACAAGAGGCTTATTTTCAAAGCTAAGACTACATCTCCACTTACCATGTGTTTAACAGCCGATACAATCTGAATAAATATAAATTTACTCTCATATTCTGAGAAACGTCCATTTGTGGAGATCTTGGTGAAAAGATCCCCTCCATCTGCATACTCCAAGACCAGGTACAGTCGAGATTGTGTTTCCAGCATCTCATACAGCCGGATGATATTTGGATGATGAAGTTGCTCCATACACAGAATTTCATTTATGAACAGTTGTTGTGAATTCTGGGTTACTTGCTTTTTATTCATGATTTTAATTGCTACCTTGTCTACAAGTTACAGAGAAAAAGATATTCATTACTTTATTATTAATATCAATCATAATATTTCAATATATTCAATATATCAATATATATCAATATTTCAATCAGCTGACTGCAAAGTAGTGAGGCACAAAACACTTCATAACACAACCTGATTGTACATCAAGTAACTGGAGCTTGCAAAACAATTGAATATCAGATTTATTGATTAGGCTAAGGGTTGAGAGGTTACACAAGATGCTAGAGTGAGGGGAATGAAGAGTTTAGGTGGAGATTGAAGGTAAGAAAACAGAGGATCAAAACAGAATGAGTACCTTAATTTTTGAAGTGTTATGCAACAAAACCAATGTTCGTCATAGAAGGCAAAATTGCAAGGTCATCAGGACTTGATGTGGGATATGATACAAACAGCCAAGTTTTGATGTGCTAAAAAACTAATTAAGGCAGAGAAAGGGATCATTTGACCCACTAAATCCATCAGCTGAAATAGAGTGAAAATGGTGGGTGAGCAATGAGATTTCAGCCTGGAACACTGAATTAATCAAGTCTGAAGGCAATAAAGGCATGAATTAACTTTTTTTTGGATACTAAATTAAATGAGGCAAGAGCAGAAATAATGTTGTTGAAGTGTAAATGGTTGATCTCATTATGGAGAAGACATGGGTTGAAACTTCAACTAGGGAAAACAGGACCCTGAGCAGGCAAACGATTCCATTGAACTGGACAATTGAAGAGAGACATTGGAGGGTAACCCAGTTGCCAACCCTGTCAAAGGCTGTGGAAAAGCTGAGAAAGATGAAGATGAATAATTGCACCATGGCCATATTCAGAGCAAATGTAATTACAGAATCTGGCTAGGAATACTTCACCAAAATGAAGAGATGCAAGCATGGAATTATATCAAATTGAACAAAGATTTGGAAGGCAGAAACACATTGAATTAGTGTGGAGAAGATGAGGCAGCAGTTTACAATGGCAGAGAGGTTGAGTTTTTTTTTTGAAAACAGAACTTCCCAAGTATGGCAGCTTCGAAAGGGAGAACAACAGTGTCTGAGGGCCTAATAGGGCATGAACGTCGAGAAGGGAAGTTGGGTTTCACAGTTGTGGAGTCAAGGAAGCAGAAACTGGGTCTTGTGGATAAAAGAGGAGGAAGGAGAGTAACTAGACAAAAACACTGGTTCTGGGCTCTGCTGGGAGAAATGTGGAGGAGAGCAGAATTTGACCTAGTGGTTAAGGAGAAGCAATGCAGCAAAAGTTGAATGGTTGGTCTCAGTCTCTATTACAAACAATTATTATTGAAGGTGAGAGTGGTGAGGCACAGAGGAAATGTGTTAAAGGCAATTGTTGGTCTTTGAGAGAAAAAGCCAAGAGCTATCTTTGCCTTTCTGAATTGGTGAATGGTTTTAGCAAATGAGGTTGAGTTGGTTGGTTCTGCTAGATCTGTTGATATTTAGCTAGATGAGCTGCATGAAACATAAGATTAAGTCTGTGGCAGGTGAAAACATTGAGAAAGAAGACAGAAAGCAAAGGCTTTTTGAGAGACAGGTATATGAGAGGTGTGGTAGAACAAACTGAAGGCTGCTTAAGTGATGAAGGTCCATGAAATCTTTGAATGAAGGAAGGACACCAACCCTTGCAGCTAAAGCTAAATTGTTCACATTATGGTGTGGGCCACTTTTGCCATGGGTAAGAGGTTGAATGGCCTACTCCTGTTCCATAGTTCAAAGCTAAGTGTGCCTACGTGAGGAAAGATTTGGTGGTACCACAAGAACAACATTTATTGATTAACACAATCTTATCATGGAAATACTTATAAAGAAACATTTGACTAAGTACTCCAACTATAGAGATCAAGTTGAGCCTTCCAATTTGAAAATATTTTTAAAAATATTATCTTCATTACCCCAAAACTGGCAAAAAAACATTGAGAAGAAGCTGTTGTCACCATCCGCAGTGTAAAAACCCATGTGAATGTTAACTGCAGTCAACTGGTGCTGAACACGAAATCATAATAAATGATCTTTGCTGATAGTGGTTGTGTCTATGATAATCTATGGGTGTATTCCTTGTGCAGGTTTTTTAGTACTCTAAATGTGCCATGTTTCCAAATTAACTTGTGTTTGTTAGTCTCTGTGCTGCAGAAAGCCCAGATCTAAATGCTTCTGTCACAGATGATGGCTGCTGCTAATGAGACTTCATTGTCAATTGAATGGAGGTGGATGCCGAAAAACTGAAGTGCACAGAAACTCAGCAAATCCAGTGGCATCTGTAGAAAGCAAAAGTTCTTTGGAAGAGTCGTAATGGATATGTTCTGAAGAAGAGTTAAATTGGACTTGAAATGGTAGCTGTTTCTCTCTCCACAATTGCTGCCAGGTCTGCTGAGTTTTTCCAGCACTTTCTGTTTTTATTTCAGGTTCTCAAGTTGTCAGTTTAATAATGTCAAAGATTAGTGATAATTATTAGCAGTATTTTACTCTGCTAGTTTTAACCAGTCCTTAAATAGATGGTTTAAAGATGCATTGCTTGATGCATTAAGCTCTGTACTATTTCATATTGTTTTGTTTAGAATATAATGTTATCATTAACATTAATGTTATTAGTTATTATTATATTTGGGGCGGCATGGTGGCTCAGTGGTTAGCACTGCTGCCTCACAGCGCCAGGGACCCAGGTTCGATTCCACCCTCATGAGACTGTCTGTGTGGAGTTTGCACATTCTCCCCGTGTCTGTGTGGGTTTCCTCCCAGAGTCCAAAGATGTACACACTAGGTGGATTGGCCATGCAAAATTGCCCATAGTGTTCAGGGATATGTAGATTAGGTGGGTTGTAGGGGGATGGATCTGGTTGGGATGCTCTGAGGGTCGATGTGGACTTGTTGGGCCGAATGGCCTGTTTCCGCACTGTAGGGATTCTATCATTCTATTACTTTTATTTTTCAATACATTACAGAATAATTGCATAGCAGACAGGTTTTTATTTATAATCTCGATACCAGCATGAATTTGTCTCTTCTGAAAATACAGACAACCTCTTTAATCAGCCAGACTTCTCAGTATGTAGGATAGGAGTGGGTCAGGTAGACAAACCTTTTGTTAAGCAGTGTATTCCAAGCTTCACTTTGGAGAAGTTCCCAGTACCAATTTCTCCACGGAGTTGGTAAAATCCAATCCTTTTTCCAAGCATCAGTTCATTTTTTACTTTCTTGCTATTCTTCATGTCATAAATAACTTTCTCAAATGGTGAGAGTAAGATATTTTGCTCCTCTTCTTGCTCCTTCTCATCCATATGGTGTTGCACCTGCCATTTAACACTTTGTGTTGTGCCAAGGTAACCACTCAAACTCTTGTTGTGATAAGATAAATTTGCTACAGCCATCAATAAGGTTCACAGGGTGTGTCTGAAAAACAAGAACTTCTTCACCATTCCTCAAAAAAAAAGTCTGTCAAAGCTGGCAAGCTTTAAAAAAGCATCCTCAGTGCATTGGTTGATCCTCAATGAATCAAGTTTTATTTTAGTTCCTAACGAGCTCACTTCTTAGAAGATCCTTCCCAGCTTGCATTTGTTAGTTTCTTACTGCAGAAAGTCCAGGTCTAAATGCTTCTGCCACAGATGATGGCCACTGCCAATGAGACGAGAATATTGCTACTTCATCATAATCATTTGAATGGAGGTTGAAAAACATTCACTTTGTCTTCCTCTTGATAGGAGAATCTTTTAATCTTTTAGACAATGACTGAACATACTCTGTGATGACACTGGAAAAAAAATAAATGTAATTTTGATAATGGACAGTCAGTAGATCTGAAGAAAATATGTTATATGATAAGGGGCCACAAAATCCATTGTCTGGTTTATAAAATAGCAAGAGATCAACTCAGAGAAAACTATTTTGTGTTGTTGAAAAACGGTGATTGGAGTGTCTATGTTCAACAACTTATGCAATACTAAACTATTTTCCCCTGCCATGTATACATCCAATTTTCTTTTAAACTTATTGAACATTTTCACTTTCACCACCGTCAAAGGCAGCAAGTTCCAGGCCATTACCATTCGATACTTAAAAAAAAATTCACCTTCATATTCTTGTCCAAAACATTAAGTCTGTGTCACCTATACCTGGTGCCATTAGAATATGAGGACTGTTTTTCTTCAATGAGGCGTAAGGGTTTTCTGAAACTTCAGATGTCAGCCAAGTATATGGCCCTACTCTTTAAAGAGTGACAATCCCATTCTTCCTGTGACCTTTTGGTGTTCCTGCTTTAAAGCAAGGTGTCGGTTCACTGCTAAATAAAAATCAAAAGAATTGTGGATGCTGTAAATCAGAAACAAAAGTAGAGATGCTGGAAAAGCTCAGCAGATCTGGCAGCTTCTGTTGAGAGAAATCAGAGTTAACATTTCGGGTCGAGTGACCCTTCCTCAGTTCTGATTTCTCTTCACAGATGCTGCCAGACCTGCTGAGCTTTTCCCGCAATCTCTATTTTTGTTACAGGTTCACTAATGCCCCTCAGGTAAGGAAATCTGCCATCCTCACCTGGTCTGGTTTACATGTGACTCCAGACCCACAGCAATGCAGTTGACTCTCAACTGCCCTCTGAAATGAAACCACTCACTTGTATCATTCGCTATAAGGTCTCAAGAAACAAATGGAACCAGACAGACTACCTGACTTCCACCTAGGCACCAGAAAAGACAATGGCAGAAATAGCCCTGTTGACCCTGCAAAGTCCTTCTTACTAACATCAGGGGACTAGCGCCAAAATTGTGAGCGCTGTCTTGCAGACTAATCAAACATTGCCTAACATTGTCTATCAGTTATGTTTCAGTGAGTATGACTATGTCCCAGACTCTACTATCACCATCCCTGGTTATGTCCTGTCCCTTTCAATAATACCCAAACAGAAATGAGGACCTTCAAACAGCAAATTATATTTTTAAAACCTACCTGACAACTTTACTGACTGTATATAGAGTGCGTATTCTTGTGTCATTGTACACATCACACCAGCACCATGCAAGCCAGCTGATCAGTATTCTTAATGATTCAAGCTAAACAGGTTAAAGTCTTATTGGTGAGATCCAGCAGACTGGGGTGCCTACTAGTGATGTAGGCTTGGCTGATGGATCATAAAAGAACACTGCCTAAATCTCTCACTCCACTGCTGCCTACCATGTTCCAATTATTGAACCCTTTCCCATGACTAACCTTAAGTTCAAAAGGACCTGTAAGATTTCTACCCTGTTCCCAATTCTCAAATGATCAAAGCTGAATTGAGGCTATGCAGCAACATACAACAGGTATTAAGTAATTGCTAGATAAGAATAGCACTAACCTTCAGATTTGTTGACATTAGTAAAGAAACCCATATAATCAAAATACGTTAACAATGTCTCCAGCCAGTTGTTACATAATAATTTCAGAACTAATTTAAATTGATTAAATTTATTCTTTAAACATGCCCAAATTTGATTTTGTAACACTGCGTTATCAGTGAATAAGATAGCATATCATAAATTCGTAGGAGTAGTTACCTGTTTCATTGAATTTGTATAATATTACTTTCTTCTCCATCTGTTGTAGCTTTATGTTGATCCTTCGGTTTTTACGTGTCCTGCTGCATGAAGTGCCTTTCCATCCCACTTTTCAGTATTGCCTACTGTTCACTGCTGCTGTGTCAGTTGCACATGGTGGAGTCTGAAAGGGTTTCAATCTCTGGTGAGTGCTACAAAGAACAGACAGAAATATTCTGCTATCTGGATTAATCTTGCTCAGTTACTCACAGTCTTAAGGATGAGGATTAATGCAGTTACTTTGCCTTTTTATATGTGACCTGGTTATTCTTAACAGGATTTCAAGAATTACTGCCTGACCAAAATGACTAGGTTCTATTTATTTAAAGGTGTCATTAGTGCAATTATTTCTTTTAATAGAATGCAATCATCTTAAAACAACCTACCCTTTGTTATTGACTGTACTCCACAATGCAAAGCTCCTAAAGTGATTTCTCACACTATGCTGCCAGTGTCACTTCTTACACAATACCAAATTATATTGATAAAGGTAAAGTCACCATGGCCCCAGAGGACCATAGGGCTGCTCTCTCATTAGACAGACATGACTGGTGATGAATTTAACTTGAGAGTCACCATGCCTCAGGAAAGGGCGATTGAGAAGGTGGGACTTCATGGTGACCTTAGCCAGTGAGGGAATTGAACCCACACTGTTGGCATCACTCTGCATCGCAAACGAGCCATCCAGCCATTTGAGCTTATATTGATATAATGTCTACAACATAGGAAAAGACCTCCCAAGAGCCTGGACAGGAATATAATCAGACAAAAGCAAAACAAAATTGATTCAAACTGGTCCATGTTATCGGTACAAAATAGTCTCTCTGCCTATTAGCAATTTATTTTTCATAACATTAACCTTTATTTTCCATTGAGTTGGAAAATGACTGTCAGGATTCTTAATTTCAAACAGAATTAAAGAAATGAGTTTAGGAATCATTTCTCCAACTATTGCTCTGTGAAAGTAGATTGGGTGTGTGGAAAAATCAGCTGTTGATTCACTCAGGATCTCTCTTACTTTGCAGATGTAGAAAGGTTTTGCCCATGAGACTTCAGGCATGTCTGGTCAAAGAGGGGTGTGTTGCAAAGGGAAGCTGGCTTGAAAGGGTTAACTTGAAAGCTTTGGAATATCTCCACCCATTGATGTGTAAAAGACTGGCTCGTCCCTCATTCAGTCAGTATTTTGTTAGTGAGATCTACAGTCATGTAGAATATACCTGGTTACTATTGCTTAAGAGGTAACAGCGTGTCTTTTCTGATGTTAGCCAGTCTTAAGCTAATGTAACCTGTTATTTACATTTTTTTTTCCTTTATTCATTCATGGGATGAGGGGCATCGCTGGCTAGGCAGCATTTATTGCCAATCCCAATTTCCCAGAGGGCAGTTAAGTGTCAACCACATTGCTGTGGGGCTGGAGTCACGTGTAGGCCAGACCAGGTAAGGATGGCAGTTTCCTTCCCTAAAGGACATTAGTGAACCAGATGGGTTTTTCCTCTAATTGACAATGGATTCACTGTCGTCATTAGATTCTTAATTCCAGATATTTATTGAATTCAAATTCCACCATCTGCAGTGACAAGATTCGAACCTGGATCCCTAGAATGTTATCTATGTCTCTGGATTAACAGTCCAGCGATAATACCATCACCTCCCCACTATTATGTAATAAATCATAAACTACTACTGATCTGTGGCTCATCCTTCTAATACTTAATACTAGTAAGCCCTGTAGACTAGTATTAGAAGAAGCGTTGGTGGCACCATATTTAACTGAAGAAGATCTTGTCACAACCATGCGTCAACTGTGACCATCTCTTAAAACAGGGTGTCATAAGAAAGCTATTAAAAGGAGGAGTGAAGGGGTTTAGTAGAAGAATTTCTAAGCTTAGGCCCTGGATGATTGAAAGCATTGCCATCTATTGTGGAGCAAAGTGATTTTTTAAATTTGTTTGCAGTGTGAGTGTCATTGGCTAGGCCAGCATTTATTGTCAACCCCTAATTGTTTTTGAAAAGGTGGTGGTAAGCCACCTTCTTGAACCACTGAAGCCCCCCATATGATGTAGGGACAACTACAGTGCTGTTAGAAAGGGAGTTCCAGGATTTTAACCCAGCAACTGTGAAGGAACAGCAATGTAGCTCCAAGTCAGAATGGTTTGGCTTGGAGGAGAACTTGCAGGTGTAGGTGCTCCGTATAGCTGCTGCCCTTGTCCTTCTAGGTGATTGCAGTCATATGTTTGGAACGTGCTAACGAAGGAGGCTTGGTGAATTACTGCAGAGCATCTTGTAGATGGTATTTGGGATGCACAAAAGGCCAGAGAGTAAGGAACATAGAGGTTTGTGTGTGTGTGTCCCATTTCTACTGCAAAGTACAGTGCTTGTATGTATATGCATCCATGTGTATGCCTGTCTGTTTTATAATGCACCTGTGAAGAGATGTTTTAATTTGTTAAAGATGCTATATAAGTACAAATTGTTGTTGTTCCCTACTTCCCCCACTATAGTGTGGTTTGTGAACACACGTATTCTTGCCCCCACCTCATGCTTAACTTTGTCCTTGTCTCTCTGGGCCAAACACTTGTGTCAGACGAGATAGTGGACTCAGCCTGAGCCATGTGTTCAGGGTGAACCCAGCATCCAGGTTGATTTGACAACTTATGCAGAGGCATCAGAAAGAAGAATTTTACCTCGACGAATTTTCATCAGTATAGAAAGAGATAATTCAGATATGTACCTGAACTTAGAGAGCAGGTCACTCTCAAGTGATTTATAACATCTAATTTGTAAAATAATGAGCAACAGGAGCATTACTCCTGTGAAGAAGGAGTAAACTATGTTGGTGGGAAGATGGGAAGTAAGTTGTTGCTGCATAAATTAAAAGCCAACTTGGAGAGGAAGCAGGTTACTGAATTTTCTTGCACCATCTGTCAATGTGTTAAATTCAGTTAATCCTCCCCTTTCTTTTTGCTTCTGCAGGACCAGGAGCAGACAAGGCAGAATTATTTCAAAGTACTGAGAAACTTAAAAGTAACTATTATAAAACAATAATTCCATCCATTTCCCTGGTAGCCAAAAGACCAAAGTAAAGACCTAATTTTTTTTTCCTCAAATGCTGACCCACAGGTATTAATGGAACAGATGAGCTCGTGCAGGGAATGACTGCGAGGTATTCACAGAAAGAAAAACAATGGAACGGGTCATAATAGCCTTATGTGGGGAGATGTCAGTGGTTCTGGATATCTCAAGATTGAATGCCATTATTAGAACTTAACTGACCTGACAAAGTAGGTAAGATTAGAGAACTACTACTTCTTTCAATTCGCTCCAATTCTTCCATAGAATAAAATCCTCATGCTCCGTGCACCATAGGTTAATGATTCTGTAACACCTCTTCCACTGGAAACTGTGTTTGGGATTCACGCTAACAGTCTTCCTTGCACACAACAAACTCCTCTTTTGGCAACAGATGTATGATCATGTATTTCCCAGCAGTTGGAAGATATCCATCCAATGCTCATCTTAATCTAATATTACTATTCTTACTGCAAGACAAAATGGCACATTGTGTATTGGGGAGGCTTCTTGTGGATGTAATTGTGCTCACAGTGAACAAGCAATGGAGTTAAAGAGCCACTTTCACCCAGAAGGCCACAGATTGTAGAAATGGGCAGTTAATACTGAATTACAGAGCACAAGGAATTCTGAGAAGTAGATACAAAACTCATTTTATCTCATCTAGCCTTTCCTAAGAATGACTAGCTTTAACTGAGGAGTCAGTGCATTCAGATTTCATGAGCGGTATTCTGATGAGTATCACACTATGTTCCTGAGGAGGAATGGAAATGCCAAAACTTCACTTTCCTCATAAGGTATTTTAAAAAATAGTAAATCTCAGGGCTGAGGGGAAAGAACTGGGCAGTGGAAATTATTGAAAACTTTCAACACAGTAGGCTGAATAACCTGCTGCAGTACTGCAAAATTCTACAATAAGGAATTATTTTCCTCCTTGTAGAGACCAATGGTGTACAACAGCTTCATTTCAGACCAGAATCATTCTCCAGTCCCAACAGTGTAGCCTAGGCCACTGTATTCTCCATTTTGGAATCAAAGTTGGTGTTCTGGGACAGGTATGAGAGCACTGCATTCCAGCCTTCACAGATGTGAGACCACACTACTCGGAAGCAACCTCAACATTTATATCTGACTGCTCTAAACTCCACCTTGAACGTGAAACAATCTACATCATCCTTTACCAATCTGTCTTGACCTAGAATAAGATTATCATCCCTCCAAGAGAGTCCTGGAATCTCCAAGGATTTAAGACCAACATTTCCAGGACACTCTTGGAGTGCATTCAGCCACAATTTACAACTTTAACCCCAATCAACCTCTTCCGTTCTGACCACTGCAGAAGCAAGCATTAACTCACTTCTTTGTGGGTATGTGACTACAATGGAGGGAGTGCAGAGGTGACTCACCAGGATGTTGCATGGGTTAGAGCATTTTAGCTACGACAAGGGATTGGATAGGCTCAAGTCATTTTTTACAGAGCAGAGAAGGCTGATGGGGGACATGATTGAGACATATGAGGTTACGAGGGGCATGGACAGGGTGGGTAAGCGGCTGTTCTCCTTAGTTGAAGGATCAATAACAAAGGGCCATAATTTTAAAATACAGGGCAGGAGTTTTAGGGATTTGAGGAAAAACATTTTTCACTCGGAGGGTGATGGAAACCTCAAATGCACAGACTGGGAGAGAAGAAAAGATGGGAAACCTCACAACTTTTAAAAATGGAAAGAACTGTGCATGCTGTAAATCAGAAACAAAAACAGAAATTGCTGGAAAAGCTTAGTAGGTCTGGCAGCATCTGTGAAGAGAAATCAGCATTAATGTTTCAGGTCCTGTGACCCTTCCTCAGAACTGATGGTAGCTAGGAAAATGTTGGTTTATATTGCAGAAGATAGGGTGGGGGAGGGGGTAAGGAATAAACGATAAGTGGGAATAGGGCCTAAAGAGTGAGAAGAACAATTGGACAGACAATGGAGTGGATAACGATCTCGCTAGGATAGTGAGTAGCTGTTGATGGAGACTAAATGGATACATTTTCCTAGCCACTACCAATTCTGAGGTAGGGTCACCAAACTTGAAAGGATAACTCTGATTTCTCATCACAGACCTGCTAAGCTTTTCGAGCAACTTCTGTTTTTATTTCAACCTTTAAAAATGCTTGGATAAGCAACTGAAATGTCATAACACTCTAGGCTTTTTTTCAATTCATTCAGAGGATGTGGGCTACACCAACATGCATTACCATTGGCAGTTCAGAGTCAACAACATTACTGTGGATCTGGAGTCACATGTAGACCAGACCAGATAAGGATTACAGTTTCCTTCCCTTTTGTTTTCCTGACAATCAACAACGGTTCATTGTCACAACTAGACATACAATTCCAGATTTTTTAAATTGCCCAGAACATTACCTGGGTTTCTGGATTAATTGGCTAGTGATAATACCACTTGGCCATCTTCTCCCCACTATGAGTGAAGTGCTGGAAAGTGGAATCAGTGTAGCTTGGTCGGTAAAACTTAATGAACCAAAATGTCTCTACTTCTCTATGCTTTAAACAAGGAAAAAGAACTGTGGATGCTGGAAGCACTCATCACATCTGGCAACATCTGTGAGTATTTCCAGCATGGTCCCTTCTTGTAACTGAGCTTTGCTACTAATTGCAGCCGATTGATTGGTTAGCAAAGTTCATGCTGCACCATCTGATTGGACCGCACCTCTTCACGCCTGTCGTGCTGTTGGATTGTTTGCATGCCGTCTGGTGATTGGCGTTTCTGTCCTGTGTTGTCATTGGCGCTCCTATGCTGTGTTGTGATTGGTGGAGGGGTGACAGCGCGTTTTGATTGGTGATTGATGGGGTCAGCAGGTGGCGTGGCGGGAAGGCGGCTGATGGAGGAGCGCGAGAGCGGAGTGGAGCCAGGCCAGAGTCTACAGTTGGAGGCCGAAGTGGACAGGTTGGGCCTACAGCATAAACTGCTGCGGCTGCCGCTGAGCCGGATCAAGGGGCTGATGAAGGCTGATCCCGATGTCTCGCTGGCGAGTCAGGAGGCCGTGTTCGCCATCGGCAAGGCCACGGTGTGTGAGTGAATGGCGGCTACCCCAACCCCAACCCACCCCCACCCTTTTCCTTTCCCCCCCCCAACCACCGCTCCAGGCCGTAACTGTCACTGTGGCCGGACTGTCCTCCTGGGGACAGTTCGCTCGGTCGTTGCCCGTGTTTGTTCTATGGTGCTGAGCTCAGGGCTGCTTGGTGAGGGTACACAGTATATTTACCACAATAATCTCCAGGGGGTAAATTTCGAGTAGAGGTAAGGATAAATGCAAAATACTGGACACTTTAGCAGAACTTCTTCGGTGTAGCTATTCCTTGAAGAGAAATAATAATGAATTAAACATCAATTATTCTAGAAGTGTGACCACTAAAATAAAAACCAAACGTTGCAGCAATTTCTGACGAGTTATTAAGGTGACGTTCCCCGCCCTCCCCTCCATAGATGCCACCAGATTAGAGGGCATAATCAAAGCCGTAGAGATAGACTTTTGAAAAGTAATGATACTTATTGACATACAAAGGGTAGTGGAAGTTTTGACCTCCTCCAAGCAGTTATAGAAATAAGTGGAGGCCAGTCAGCCCCTTGAGCCTGTCCCACCATTCTATAAGCTCGTGGCTGATCTGTGACCTAATTCTATCTACCTGTCTTTGGCCCATATCCCATAATACCTCTGCTTAACAAAAAGTTACCAGTTTCACATTTAAAATTAACAACGATTCAGCATCCACTGCAATTTGTGATAGAGAATTCCAAACATCTACCACCCTTTTTGTTCAGAAGTGCTTCTTAATCTGAATGGTCTGGTCCTAATTCTCAGACAATGCCTCCTAGTTCTAAAATCCCCACCCAATGGAAATAGTTTAAAGGCAAGAATTAGCTTTCATGATTATTTTCTGCACCTGTTTGTGACACTCTTAAACATCTAGATTTTAAATATTTTTAAATCTAGGTCAGTAATTTTATGGTATTAAGGGATATGGGGCAAAGACAGATGTAGAGTTGGGTTCTGGATCGTTTAATCCCTGATGACAGTGACATTGATCACCTTGCATAAGAATGCTTTAATTTAGTTTAACTCTTAAGGAAACTAGTATCTTGGCATCTGTTTATTGTTTACTAATGAGGCAAAAGCAACTTTCCTCATTGTGAAGGGATACAGTGAGAGGAAAGGCTGAGGGAGGAAATGCTACTCCTGCTCAGGACAGAGATTAGAGCTGTATGAGAATTGGAGCTGTATACTGAGTTCCTGGAGAGAGTGAGAGAGAGTATATACTGAGCAACCTGGGTACTACAGTGACTGAACACTGAATTTGGTTTCTCCCAAAGGAACTGTTTGTTGAAGTGATTGCGAAGGATGCATACTCATTCGCTTTGCGGGGAAAGCGTAAAACCATCCAACGAAAGGATGTGGGTGAGTCTGTCAGCAGTTTGTTATTCCAGACTGTTACTTTGTCAGAGCATAAAAAAGGTCTGTGTCGGATTATAATGTGTGCGTGGTTGTGGTTTCAAGTCAGAGTCATAGAAAAGTACAGCATGGAAGCAGACCCTTCGGTCCAACTCGTCCATGTAGATCAGATATCCTATATTAACCTAGTCCCATTTGCCAGCATTTGGCCCATATTCCTCTCAACTCTTCCTTTTCTTATACCTATTCAATGCCTTTAAAATGTTATAATTGTACCAACCTCTGGCAATTCATTCCATAGGCGCATCACCCTCTGCGTGAAAAAGTTGCCTCTTTGGTCCCTTTTAAATCTTTCCCCTCTCACCTTAGACCTATGCCCTCTAGTTTTGGACTCGCTTATCCTAGGAAAAAGACCTTGACTATTCACCCTATCCATGCCCCTCATCATTTTATAAACCTCTATAAGGTCACCCCTCAGCCTCTGACATTCCAAGGAAAATAGCCCCAGCCTATTCAGCCTCTCCGTACAGCTCAAACCCTCCATCCTTGGCAACATCCTTGTAAACTCTTTCAAGTTGCACAATATTTTTCCTATAGGAGGGAGACCATAACTGAACACAGTATTCCAAAAATGGCCTAAACCACGTCCTGTACGCTGCAACATGATCTCCCAACTCCCATACTCAATGCACTGACCAATAAAGACATGTGTATCAAATGCCGCCTTCATCACCTTGTCTACCTGTGACTCCACTTTCAAGGAACTATGAAACTGCACTGTAAAAGTCTCCCTTTTCGGCATCATTCCCCAGGACCTTACCATTAAGTGGATAAGCTCCCTGCATTTATCTAGATTAAACTTCATCTGCCACTCCTCCGCCCATCTGATCAAGGTCCTGTTGTACTCTTGGGTAACCTTCTTCACTGTCTGCTATACAGCTAATTTTGGTTTCATTTGCGACTTGCTAACCATACTTCCTATGTTTACATCCAAATCATGTAAGTGCTAAGCTAAGCTTGTGTGGAGGTGGGACTGCAATGATGAAATAGTCAATTGTTGGTTTGTTTGGAAGTTATCGAAGTTGCTAGATATTGTATTTTTATTTCTCTTTCAGACAATGCAGTTGATGTTACAGATGAATTTGCATTTTTGGAAGGTGAGTCCTTCCTCCTTGTTTAACAGCCATAACTTTGTTTTGTCTGTTGTTTTCTCCTGTCAATCTTTCCTACACCAGTGGAGAAGGCATTGCTGCTGCAAGGTGCAGCAGACAGAATTACCTTGAGCTGAGCTACTGATGTGAAGGCTGAAACTAGTTGAATTGCACAGTCTGTCAAGGCTGTTGTTAATCTTTCACATGAACAGTTATTGCACTAATACAATGTACCCTCCATTCACTCAATTATTTATCTAACCTATTCTTAAAAGTACCTTTAATCAAATTGTTGGACCTTTTTTATTCATTAACATGATGAGGTGTCACTGGCTAGGCTAGCATTTATTGCCCATTCCTAATTGCACAAAGGGCAGTTAAAAATCAACCACATTGCTGTGGATCTGGTGTCACATGTAGGCCAGACCAGGTAGGGAAGGAAACTGCCATCCTTAAGTAACATTAGTGACCAGATGTGTTTTACCAACAATTGACAATATGTTCATGATCATCATCGAACTCTTATTTCCAAATTTTTATTGAATACAGATTCCACCTTTTGCCATGGCAGATTCGAACCTGGGGTCTCTGAATTAACAGTCCAGTGATAATTCTACCAGGCCGTCGCCTCCCCTTATTGATGCACTTCTGAGGCACATGGGACTTGAACCCAGATCTTCTGGTCCACAGGTGGAGCATTTCTACTGTGCCACAAGATCTACTTAGCCTATTCTTAACTATTGACAGAAGTTTTGCTTTAATCATATTTTGGTGTTGCAATCCACAGCTTCACAGTTCTTTCAATCTTAACTTTCTTGTTTATAATCTTCTTTTGTCCTTCTGTAAATAGTTTATGTACATTGTCACACCCCTTTCTGGTTTAAGTCATCACTCATAATTGTACTGTATCCGGTTATGATCTTATGATTTTACTCACTGTGCCATTTTGACTCTTATTTTAAATCTCTTAAAACCCAGTATTTTATTAGTTGATCTCTTTACAGTTTTATCCTCCTGCTTTTAATGTCTTATTTACCTGAAATCAAAATCATTCTTCGTTTCCACATTGCCTGGCCTCCACTTCAATTACTAAGTTATTACATTTCTGACCCCATTCTCCCTCACTAGCAACTCAAAATAATTAATTGGCTGTGAACTACTTTGAGACATGCTCGGATCACTGATGTGAAATATTAATGCTGTTTGCTTCTTAGAATTAGCTTTATTGTCACATGTACTCACATGAGTACAGTGAAAAGTTTACAAGTCACTAGTTACGGTGCCATCTTAGCTACAAGGGCACTTAAGCACCGATTCTTGCGAATAAATTAGAAAAATACAAACTCATAGGAATAAAATAGAAAAATAAAGGAATCAAAAGTTCAGAAATACAGTCCTTCCACCCCAGTCTGTGGTGGTACCTAGCCTCGACTACAAAACGAATAAAAATTTACATGAATAGAGTTCACCTTCTGAACAAGGGGTCTAAACACACACATACAGGGCTTTAAGGTCTCTGCAAAGTCCTCCGTCAGAAGTCCTTGCTCCGGGCACTGCCTCTGCTGAGTCCATGCTTCAGGCACCGCCACCACTGCATCCAAAGTCTACCGAGTCCCTACTGCAGGCCTACCACAGGTAGGAGTCCTCTTCTGGGCATTGCCATGGCCAATGACCCACCGATTTCCCCAAGTCCAGACTCTAGGCCTACCATAGTCTGGAGTCTTCGCTCTGGGCACCGTCATCACTGTAGCCAACCAATACCAGTCCAGTTTCCCCATGATATTAGAAGATGAAGAGAAAAGAGAAAGAAAAGACAAATGAAGGAAAAAATGTAGTAAAAGTAAACTGAGCAGAAGAGCTCTGGGCTGCTGGGTTTAGGAGCCCGCGTGCTGCGTTGCATACCGCCATCTTGAGAAGAGATCACAAATACTGCATAACTTTGCCATTTTGACCTTTATTTGTTTCAGATTTCCGCATCTGCAGTGTTTTGCTTTTGATTTAATTAATCTTTCTTTCTTTCTTTCTGTCTCTCCCCTTCCCTGACCCCTCAGCCTTTTTTTCCTTCTGCATGGTGTATGGTTGCATGTCACATGTTCTCTCATGGTTTTCTATCTTGAGTATAGCATTTATTTATTGGCACTTTAATTGGTTGTAATGGGAAAAATAGTGTGAGTAAAGAAAATTGGTTTCCACCCTGTTGTTAGACTGATTCTAAATGACCTGATTCTTCAAATGCCTAAGTCACTTTGATCCAAGGAATGCTGTTATCTTCCCCAGGTTCTGGTGGTGATGCTGCAACTCTGTAAATATAGGCATTGCAATGGTCACTGCTTCTTGGATTGCATTTTGTTGACATATCTGCTTCTTATGTATATGTTCCAGAGAATTTCAGTGCATTTTATTTTTCTAGGAACTCTGGACTGAATTGGAGCCAAGCTTCACTAGCGGCCACATTGACTATAGATGGAGAGCTGTGTTCAAAGATCTCACTGTATAAGTGTATGTATATTTTGTATAATTTGTAAAAAGGTAGTTGTACCTGTTACGAGTTATTGATTCCAGATGTGAACGTTTGCAATTATGACTACATTAAGAAGGTTTTGTAATTCTATCTTGAATACTGCTGTTGACCGTAAGGCCTTTCAGTCATGCTGCTGCTGAGGTTAGGATATGCATGCATAAAATAAAATCCCAACATGTAAGGCAGGATCAATAGTTTACGCAAAACAGATCATGGCTTGGAATATATCTCTAATACGGCACCTAATGATATATCATCTTAGGAGGTGTGCTGACTCAATGAAAAGTTTCAGAGCACAGGCTTTTACATTATTGCACTTGCACTGGATATGATCTGAAATCTGTACTGCTTAAGACTGAAAATTTAACTGCCTTGACCCTCAGTTAATTCCAACCTGAAACGTATTCCAAGATACCTGCTATTTTATCATTTCACGTTAGTTTCTAATTCACTTGCAAATTAACTTTCTGTGCTTTGCAGGAGGATGTTATGTATTGAAATACAATTATGTGATTTGGTCAGTGATTTTGGACCACCATGGTATTTATTCTACTTGAAGTCATCTTTGTGTCACTGAGGTACACAACAGTCATACTCTGTATCCTTTTCTTTTGAACCAAGATCACTCCAACCCCACAGCCCACAATTTTCATTTCTGTCAGCCCATTTGGTCACCTTGTGTATCTGATGGTAATGTACTTGAGGAATCCATTTTAATAACTACTTGTAGAGTCTTTGGTCAGTAAACAGTACATCTGTTACTACGTGCACAATTTTGTGCAGTTCTATCAGCTCTGCAATATGGGTTTGGTGGTGAAGGGTGAGAATTATAGGTTAACTTGTATAATGTGTAATATCTTCATGACCTATTTTCAAGTGATAATCTTCTTTGTATAATCCCTCCTAACCTAATTCCACTAATTTAATGTGCCCTGTGCTGTATCGTGTTCTGTCTGCCCTTTCCACCCCCCAAATGACATGAATACAAAAGTTCTCCAATAAATACAATTAAATTAACATTGACCATTATTTGTTAAACTGGATTCAGAATTGGTTGTAATACCTATTAATGCCAATGGCCTGGAAGAGTCTGGTTTGAGAGTCAAGTTTTAAAGGATAATTATTGATTAAAGAAAACTGTGCATTACGTTTTTGACTAAGTTCAATTTTTATGACATTTGCAATTGTTAGTTGAGTCCTTCACTTTTCCCACCTTTCAGTGTTATAGAACTGTTTGTCTTTGTCAGGTTAACTGGATCTAGGACCATGTCCTAGTTTTGCTACACCTTTCTTCTCTAGTGTTCATCATGTTTGGTAGTACAATAGTTAATTTTTGATGGGAATTGATTTTTTTCTCTCATCTGTTTTCTATTTTCTTAGCCCTTGATTTTTAGAAGGTTATTGGTCCAAGTCTTATGCATGAGCGCACACAAGGCTGACCTTTCAGCCCAATGTTGTAACAAATAAAAGTATTATATTAATAGGTTGTTTGGAGAGTTGAAGAAAAACAGGGCTGTGAGTGCAAAGTATAACAGTAAGAAATTCCTTAAGCATTTTATCTGTGAGAGGTTATTCAGAAAAGAACTGGGAGACTTCACAATGTAAATAGATTTAAACTATGACCTGCTTAAGATAGTAAACTTTCTGCTTGATTAAAGTTATCAATCCCAGCCTGGCTGAAAGTTTTTATATTGGAATAGATGGAATTTAGCCCGGCATGCTAAATAGAATAGCTGTGTAATTGAAGATGTGACATTGGCAATCATTGAGGGTGTTGATAGACAAAAATGAGAGACCATGAGATTTCAAACGGGTTAACATGATTTCCATATTTAAATATATTTTTATTCTCTTAAAGTAGTCAACCAGAGTTTATGAAAACCAGTCAGGAGGCCCCAAAGCCAAAAACTATTTGCACCGCTGCCAGTCTGTGTCTCCTTCCAACAATGAGATTTTGCTAAGAGGTAGGGATATGTTTGAAGAGGTTTGGGTCCTGGTAACAGTCTGAATGTAGTAATTTCTTCAAATAAACAAAGTGAGGCAGACTTTGCCTCCTTTGTGCATCAGATTTTAAGAGCGATGAGGAAATTCACCTCTTCAATTGTATATGAAAGTGGTAGACCAAGAATAATGAGGGGAAGGGGAGAGTGAAACAGCAAAAATGGGCAATGTCTTTACACCACTTGAAGGAAAAAAGATACTGGAGTTTTGAAATAGTGAAGATAACAGAAAAGCAGTGAAGGAAGATGAGAATATCACTTGGGCAGTGAGACACCAAGGATCAGTTAGAAAACTGAATTGCAATTCATTTTTGGAAATGAGAATAAATAAAACAGTGAAGACTTGGAATTATAATAATAGGAGAAAAGTAAATAATAAACAATAGCTTGAGCGAGGACATGATTGAAGGTTGGAAAGAGAAGATAACATCAGTGAAGGAGTGTGAAATATTGAAAGAACTGAAGATAACTGAAACAAGACAGAGATCATGTTGTTTGTTCATACTTCATTCTTGTTTGAAAGTTTATAAGTGTTGAAGTCACCCAATCCTGTTACGCTATATTTATTTATTCTGTATAATACATCAATTTACATCGAACAATGCCAGAATTACTCATGATCTTGATATATTAATACATCTGTATAACATTATGTACACATATGCACATTTTACAACTCAATCTGCAGTCTGCATACTTTCCTTTAGGGAGTGACTTTTTAAATCCATTTTCCAAACCAACACTTTACTTGCATGGTATGGGGTTTTTGAAATGATTGCTACTGATCCCATTGCTTCCGGATCTCCTGAGGATGCTGGTTTCTCACCTCAGGAACCAGTCATTATGCAAAACTGCCATGGTTATGGTTCCTTGCCTTGTACAATTCTGAATGAGGGGTTGATAATGGGTTAATGGCACCCACAGCTTCCAGCGACCATGTCATCATATTGTTTCAGGACCACATTTTCATCATCATCAAAATAGAGAAGATTAATGGAGAAAAGTTTGTCTGGGATACAGCACGGAGAAGCTACATCATTGGCTAGCTTAAGAGCATTGATAATGGACTGGACAGTGGCATGGTTGGTAGGTCTCATATTTTGGCCCAGTGGGAAGACGCATGCTCCTTTACAATGATAAGCATTGTACCCTCGAGGGGAGATAATCCAACCAGACCAGCCGATCTCTTCAAAGTCTACATATAGATGATGCCTCTGACATGCTTGGAAATGCAAGGACCTTGTGTTCCGGTTCTGGCTTGCTTTGTTCTGAAGTGTTCCGTGAGAGAGAAATGGAATCTCTGTGGCCATATCTGTAAGTGTGGCGTATAATGAGTTAAGTCATCTCATGTATTCAGGGGCCATTTAAAAACAAAAATCTTTACTTTCCCTCAAGATATCAGCACCATCTGTTAAAAAGCAAATGTTGCAGATTTTGGACATTGAGTATTTCCAGCATCTTTCTATTGGCTTGCTTTTGGAGAAGGAAATAAAGTTCATTTGACCTGAATCTTGTACTGCATTTCAAAGGAGACTGTCAGACTTAAGTATCTGAGATAGCAGGAACTGCAGATGCTGGAGAATCTGAGATAACAAGGTGCAGAGTTGGATGAACACAGCAGGCCAAGCAGCATCAGAGGAGCAGGAAGGCTGACGTTTCAGGCCTAGACCCTTATTAATGACCTATGTATTGAGTGTGTCAGCAAGGATTTAATTCTTTTTAATTCTCATACTTAGTGTCACCATGACTGAAACCAGTTTTTGGATCCTGCTGTGCTGGATTATGGTAATACTTCAAGTGAGAAATCTTTACATTTGTTAGCTTAATCTCAAACAAGCATTACTATAGGGAGGTAGAGGGAGAGAATAGCTTTGACCTTTACATCTGTTATTGATCTGAAATCTCTACTGCAGGTGAGTAGACCTACCTTTGAGAGTGCTAACAACTTAAACCAACCATGGGTTTACCAAATACATTAGCTCTCTGGCTCAAAACAGTCAAGTTATAGAACAATTCTAGTGCACATCTGGCAGAAAATTTACTGTTTGGAAAATCTAGGTCACTGTGTTGCAGTCATGCTTTCAAACTCTTCCCAGCTAACCCTGTAAATGACTCATTCGGCTTCCTTGCTCTTTCTGGCATGGTATTACCTTCCAGTCAGTGCACGTTGACTGTTACAACTGACTTTACTCCAGTTCCTGTTTTGTAGTAAGTCTTTAAAGTAGTAGAGAATGAACCCTGTTGTCAGTCAATTCACCCAATGTAAAACCATATAACTTTCCCTCACTGTGAACAGTTTGACAGTACTTTGATGTATTTGCAGTAGATGGACTGTAGCTGTTCAGGGTGGCACCTCACCATCTTAGGGCAGTTAGGGGTGGGCAACAAATGCTTGTTTTGCAAGTGACACTTGAAGCCCATGAAATGTTTTAAAAAAAATGTTAGTTCTCCAGTGCTTCACCCAATCCGCCGAGCATTAGTTGTCTCTTCAGAGTTAAATTTTGTTATTAAGCCAACATCCTCTGGATGTGGGTTAGATGCAGAAGTAATTTAGAATTTTAAAAAGCCAATAAATATCTGCATGGAATGTAGGGGTATTAATTAGGATTAAAAGTAAATAGCTACCGCGTAAGGTGAAGGAAAATGAATTGGCTATCCTGTCCTTTTATAGTAGTAAGATGATTGCACTGTTTTATAGTTTTTCTCTACCTCAGTCTGGCAGTCCTGAGTGTAAGTAATTTAGTCTGAAATAATGTAACAAGTTAGGAGCTAAAGCTATAACTTTCCATGGTGTGTACAGCTGAGCACAATACGGATGGATGTGTGAAGCCTTCAAGCCATCAGGAATTTAAAGTTCATTACTTTTTATATAAATGAATAGAATTACAGTTTTGACTCTTAAATGAATTTGAAAGAAGACCATCCATAAGGGACCTAACTGAGATTGAAACCAACTAGTTGAAGCATGATTCTTATGAGAGCTTTCTGTACATGTGTTTACAGCGATAAGGTGGATCATCATCTTTGGTGCCAATCATAAGGACTTCACCTTTTAATGACGAGGAAGTGGTAATTCCTCTCCTCTCCTCATCCGTGAAGAGGACCAGCATTGGTTGCTTGCTGCTGTGATGGTCTGTCCCTGTGGCAAAGCGGACAAAATGATTGTTTGTCTGCTGCCCAGTCAGAGTTTGCACGATGACCATCAAGCCCTTGTTGCTCTTTTTATCGTGTGTCCATGCGTACACCTGCACAAATAAAGAAATCTTTCATCATCTAATGCAGCAAGTGTTTCACACAGAGTAGGGTTCTTCTGTTGTATCTCCTGAACCACTGTTAAGTCAACTGAGGCAGATGTCAGATACAGAACAAAACTCCCTTTTCTCATTCCAAGTTACGTGCCTTCACCTTCAATCTCGGAACAGTAGATCCTGCTGCACCACAGTGAGATTTCCATTTTTTTGCTTGCAAGACAGACATATCTGAGGTTATTGGGCCTAATGTTGCTTACCCATCTAGAACAAGGAAATTCCTGATTAAGTTGTCAATATTTTTGAAAGACAAGTTTTTGACCTCCATTACTTAAATACCTATTCAGTTTGTGTGATGTTCATATCGCTCTTGTTTTGCACCATTTTAAAATCTGTGTTCTTGTTTTAGTATCCTAGCATACATTGGATTAATTTTATCAAATATATTGTTTAAAATCATTAAATTTATGCAAGGCCCAAGGCACCACTTCAAGGTTTAAAAAGTCATTCCTGAGGAACTCAATTGTTGTGGATCAATCTCGTGACTTTACTTTCTACCATTCCTGTAGATTAAATATTCCCTTTCCTTCTTTAAAACCAAAACAGTGCTGAACATGGCTTCAGATCAGGATGCTATTTATTTTACAGTTTTAGCGCTATACTTTCTGACATAATTGGTTACAGAATATAACTAAGCATTCTGTTTTCTTATAGTTAATGGTTTACCATGTTGTGAAGAGACTCTGTTGTTGCTCTGTCTTTCTGCTTTACCTTACCCTATTCAACAGTCTTAGGAAATTTATTTTTCAATCACCCTTGCAGCCTTGAGGTGAGAATTAATTTGGTGCCAAATCATAGTTGGATACCTGCTATAGAGCCACAGATGATAATCCAGTCTAGTTTACAGTCTAATTAGTTTGATTATTTCTATACAGCATTGACTGACATGAGCTCTTTATCCTCTCTTAGACCTATAAATTTGTTAATGTGGCTCATTACACCACATCACAGCTGGCATCTGTATGCTGGTTGGTCTGCACAATGTGCCCCAGCATATTGGTAAAGGCTGAAGTATGGTGTGGTTACTGTACAAATAAAATAGCGTAACAAATAAGAATTATAATATTGTCATGTGTGTAACCAGGAGAAACATCTTCCTAACTTGTAACCCGTCAAGGTATAACAAGATTCTGTGCATTTGCTACAATATATTTTTCTACTTTATACTAAAAGGACTGTAAAGTTTAACTTTTAAAAGTTCTTTATTTTTCTATTTTGTAGTTAGATACCTTTGTATCTGAGATGGGGACTTTGTATACTTTACACTGTACTCCTGTATTTGTGTACTTGAGTACACATGACAATTCTAAGTTACTCCTAGAAATCTAACCAGCATTAGTTCACTTACTGCTGCTGATATAGCAGCTGTAGGTTTGATTATTCTCACAGCTGTAATAATCAATACCAGTACATAGATGTTTCTGCAGAACAGGTCATTCAGCTTTTGAATGGCGGGTTCTCGGAGCAGTCCAGTCAGTCCCACTCCCCCGTTTGATCCCTAGCTATACGATTTCCTTTGAAAATCATTGGTTGTTTCCATGTCTACCACACTCAGAGGCAGCACGTTTCTGGCTATTACCACTAATTGGGTTTTAAAAAGTTTTCTTCTCATTCTTCTGTGTTCCCTAGACCTTGTACCACCAGCTAAGGGGAAGTGTTTGTATTTTCTTAGCTTATTTAATCAAATTGGGATCTTAATTCCTCTATCATTTCCAAGGAGAACAGCCCAAGCCTTTGCAATCTACTTTGTAAATAATCTCCTCTGTACCCTCTTAATGGCCTTCCCATCTTTTAAGTGAGATGACTAGAACTGGACACTACTGTAGTTGTGGCCTAACCAGAGCATTGCAAAGATTGAGTGTAACCTCCTGTAGGTTTAATGTAGGACTTTCAAAGAGCTGATAGAAAAAGAAGTGTTTGCGGAAACATAGACCATTTAAAATAATTTACTTTTTGCGGTTCATCTGATCTTATTAAGATTGTGGAGGCCTTCCAACAGGAAAATCTATTTCCTTCACAGATTATTCTATACTAATATTGCAAAGTCCTGTCCAAGCCGCTCACTATCCTGACATGGAAATATATTGCCATTCCTTCACTGAGACTGGATCAAAATCCTAGTCTTCCATCCCTAATAACGTTTTGGGTCTATTAGTACGTCATGCCAAATGATTATGGCAACAGTTTGTGGGTAATGGTACAAGTCAACATGGTGTCTATTGCAACTTGAGAGGGCATAGTGACTAGTGATCGTGTGGCTGTGGTCATGTTTCAAAAATTAATCCTATAACTATTATTGAATGTTATGGTGCAATGTAACTTACAGCCTGGGTGATTGTGAAGACCTCCCATGTGCTGTCATGCACTGCCAGTACTCTGGATGACAGCAATCGTTGTCCCTCTGCTGTAGATGTGTTACTACTGTCCAGTATCTGGTAGACACTGACCTAAAATAGAGTTTACAGCTCAGACAAGTTGTTACAGCTAATTATATTTCAAACAAAGAAAACAATCAGTGAAATCATTGCACTGCTCCTGACTGTTAGTGATTTCTACATTCATGTACATCATTGATGCAAAAACTGTCTTATTTCCTACGTGGTGCAGCGGTGCACACTGAAGTGGTAGCATATTTGCTTACCTCCCACCTAACTCCTGTCTGAGAAGCTATCCCATCGTTATGTACAACCAATTAATTAGAAACTACAGTTATGAAGGACTCGTAATTACTGAGCTTGGATTGATTCATTTCTTAGTTCTGCCTTCTTTCCTGTCAGATACTTTGGGAGAGGAGAGAGAAGGTGCAAAATCGAAGTTAGGCGCAATCTTCACATTTTTGTGTTGTCTATCACGCTAATTTCCAACCAGTCTCGCTGGTGTATATAAAACGTGGCAGAATCAGTGTAAACAACTGGGGTCCGATGATCATATTCAGATATTTCTTTTCTGAAGTATAGCAGCTGATGTTTTTGGTCAGTTCCTCATTCATATATAGAACGTACACTTAACACTTTTGGGGTCAAGTATAACATTGTGGAAATGGGTGATTGAGAACGAGCAGCCTCTCATATCTATTTGGAAATAATAACGGAGAATACTGTTAAACGGCCCTGTCAATTCACCCACGGTGGGAGGACTTCTTAGACTGCAGAGAAAGACTTCTGGATCTTTGTTTTTCCGAGTGTTTTCGGAATTACGTTCTCACTTCTGTGCCCCTTTGAATTTCTTTCCGGCTTACTTGCCTCTGCCACTCTCGCTTTCTTCGACTTCAAGACAGTCTGAGAGAAACTGTGTTCTCTCCCTTACTGTGGGTTAGTGTCGATCTGAAGGGCCTTGCACCGCTCTTACCTGACAGAAATGTTGCCTGTGATACAGTGTGTCCCGAAAGAGTCGACCTCTCAATTTGAAGAGATGCAGCTTAGCGGAAAGAACGGTTTCGCTTTTAGCCACACTGGACAGGTTGAAAAAGAACTGGAGTTGCTGACTGCGACCTGGGAAAGAAAAGATGCAAAGATGAGCAAGGAAAGGCTGGGGTTATCAATAACTAACACTTAACGCGACTTGGCACAGTTAGGCTCTCACTTCTATCCAGGAAGCTGCGCACCGTGTTTCCCACTAGTAGATCGGGTTGCTTAGTCACTCCGTCCACGTCTGCCACAGCGTTGTAAAGGTCCAGCATATACTGAGGGGGCTGGCGGGCCCTGTGAGGGGACTGCGGGGCGTCCACCATCCCGAACACCTCTAGCAGCTTCTTTAGAGCCTGGGAGCGGACTTGCTGGTTGTGACCAGGCAGACTTGCAGCGCAACTCGGCCGCAGAGATATGAGCAGGAGCAGTAGCGAAGTTCCGAGTCTAGAGCACATGGCACACCGTCAGCCGGGAGTGGGCAGTGGAACAGCGGTCACCGAGGCAGCCGCAATATAATGGAAACCCAACCCCCAGTGCAGCCCATTAGAGTGGAATATGCAAACGGACAATTAGTGAGTGTGAGGGGTTCGGCCTCTCCTGCTAACGAGGTGTGACTCCAAAGCCAGGAAGGACCTTGCTGCTCAACTGTAATACACATTGACCCGGCCTCACATGGAGGACCTCCCTCCCGATTGTACTGACACGGTCGGGGCCACTTTCTAAACCCTTGCGTGATTAATTTTCGCTAATGAAACCATTAACTGTACAAACAGGTTGCTGACATCCCTGACAGGGACAAGGTCAGAGAAATAGCTTTGGAAGAAGTGTTAAAGAGTGGAAAGGGAAAATAAAACTCCAGAAAGACTGGATTAGCAAAATACCTTAGGTCAGAGAGATATAAGATGTTTAATTAGAAACTGTTGGGATAAGGGCAAAGCTGAGTCCAGCTGTTGTGATGGTAGTATGTAGATACTGTGATGTAAAACGAATGGATCGTTTCTTTCGCAAAGCCTACAAGCAATTGCTGTTCAGGTGGGCCCTACAGAAACATAAAGTATGAGGAACCTGTGGGACAACATTCTGTTGCATTTCACATGTAACAACAAGTGTAATGACATTCGGTCCATCGTGTATAGGAAGAACTTTTGAATGAAGGACAATTTTTTTTTGTAAGGAAGGAGAAAAGATACAAATCTGCATACTCTTCTGCAATAGGGGGGATTACAGTGTCAGCCTACTTAGTCTAAAGAAAGTGCCAGATTGCAATGTGCCCTTTCACCTCCTTTGGTTTTCCATGTCTTTTCATCTACCCTGGGCTTCCTTTACTCAAGTGCACTGGAGCATTCAAGTGGGTTGTATTAACATTAGATGGGAAATGAAAACCTGTATAATGCCATTCACAGTGCAAAACTCCTTTTACAGCTAAGGAAGTACATTTGAAGGCCTTTTGGTGGCGTGACTGGCAATGTACTGGTAGCAAGAACCTGGCAACAGATCATCTCATTTAATATTACTGGTTGAAGGATATATATTGGTCAGTTATTGGGAGCTGTTCTTAGGGTAGTAGAGACTGTTATGTCCACCTGAGAATAGATACAGGGCTCTATCTTTTATATCTCAGGTGGAAAATATAACTGTGCAGCAATCCCTGAGTACTGCAATGGAGTGAGACTTGAGCCTACAATCTCATGACTCAGAAGAGAGAGTACTACCACTGAGCCATAGCGGATGCCAGGTGATAGCGCTGCAGTTGTAAAAGTGAAGCATCTAATGTGATTGTGCAGTGGTTGAGGTGTTAGCATGATTTGTCTACCTGAAACTTGTTGGTCTTCCAGTGTAAAGAGTTGACCTTAACTGAGTGTTGCAGACTGGCACATTCCACGTCCCAGGACTATGTGATGAGGGATGCGCTAAAGCTTGGGGCAGCTGCCACCTAGATGCAGTGAAAAAAAACCACAGTCTGAGATCTTCCTGCTGAAGTATAACGAGAGGTGTTCAGTTATCAGATCCTCTTGGTACCTCAGAATGAAATAGTTTTTTGCATTTGTAGAAGATGCCTTTTTTGCAACAGTGGAGAATCTTTGACAAATGTCAAAGTTTCATTTGTTTGTTTATCTCTGCACGGACTGTACAGAATTGATTTAGAATATTTGTATATACTTCTGGACAATTTTTATGAATAAAGTGTATATTTTGAAAAGTGGTTCAGGTGATAGCTCATTACAGACATGCAGTAACAGCACAAAAGGAAAATATTGTGCACAGTAGAAATTGGTCTCAAAAACAAAGTGCTGGAAACAGCAGATCTGGCAGCATCTTGTGACCATAAATTGCTAATGAATGGCTGATCATTTCTTTGGATTAAGATCAAGAATGAACATTACTGCTTTCAGTTTATGCTACTTGGCTTTCTAAAAACTTTTTTTATATTTATGCTTCAAAGTGTTATTTACAAAGGCTTAAATTACTTCTTTGAATATATCTGTGGAAGTAGTGATTTGTTAAGGTGAGAGGGCTCCAGGGGCAGCAAAGAAAAAGTAAAGCAAGAGAGAACAATAGCTAGATCATAAAGACAAACAAAAACCTGACAACAAACTAAAAGGTATGATTATACCTGAAGTAGAAAGGGGTTTGAAGAGTAGGGCTGTATGTCAGAAAGAATACAAATGAAATGGACTTCTAAAAATGTCTTTATCTCTCATGATCCTACGTCTAATGGGAAAGAACAACTTTGGACATCTGTTGTAAAAAAGTACCTCTAATGTGACAAGAATGAGAATCACTGCCTCAGAGCTATGATGAACCAATCTTCAAAGATCAGATTCAATCTGATTTGTCCTTGTATTTCTTATTCACAGATTTGCTCTCTATGGATTGTATGGCTTGGAGGTTTACACTGTTCTTATTGTTTACAGCAGGTATGCTGAGCCTTTTTACACAAGGAGCCACATTTCAATTTCTCCCTCACTTTAGGGGAGGGGGTGTAGTTTAGTGAGCAAATTTCAGAAAGATGATGTTTACCACAATAGTAAACATCATGTGAATCTCAGAAAATCCAAAGCAATAAACTAATAATTTAACTGAATAATTGAAAAAATAGTCCATTAAGAAATGCCAAGCAACAGAGCTAACCAGTAAAACCTCTCTTTTGTCCATGGAATTCAACAGTAGGAGTTGGAAGTAGGTTGTCTCCCAGTTTGGAATTTATTTTGCCCTGCAAGCCTTGTGGATAAGCTTTGCAAGGTGGAGGGTGGGAAGAAAAGGTAAAGGACAGGTGTATGTGTGTCTCAGTCTCTCTCACTGATCTACCTATCCTGAAAGATCCCCTAGTAGCTCATTAGTGAGCCTGTCAGCAGCAAACATAGGAGAAAACTGGCATCTTATTGGAGTAGCAGCTCCTAGCAGAATGTTCCAGTTACGCTTATCTTTATTTGTAAAAAGGCTCAGCATGCAATATATCTGGGCAGTTGTGGCCTGTTGGCCTAGCCTAGACAGGAATAGGCTATTTAACATCTTGAGCTTTCTTGCTATCAATTTAGGACTGATTTGGCACACTTCATTTGATGATTTTACTGAATAATCTTGACAATCTCAATTTTAAACATTGTAATTGCCCCAACATTGTAGGCTTTTGAGGAAAGGAGTGCCACATTTCAGCAAACTTGGTATGAATAAACTTTTTCCTCCTGAATGGCCAGGCAACATTTTTGAGATTGTCCTGAATTTCTCAGCCAGAGGAAATCGCTTATCTGTATCTGCAATATCAACACCAGAACTGAAATAACTCTCAATCTTTTAAACTCAAGGTAATATAAATCAACCTTTATGCAATTTGACCTCATTACTTAACCTTTTAAGCTCAAATAGTGTTTTGATTATCTGTGCTGTAACCCCTACCAGGTTAATGCATCCTAGACGCCTTGTATAGTGGATCAAATACTCATTTGTAAGCTTGCTGTCATGCAGAAGTGATCATGTTTTCTTATCATAGATCAAATCTTTTGAAAGAGATGAAATAAAGTTTCTGGGTTTCCTTTACACTGTTCACTAAGTGACAAGGAATGCTCATTCCTCACCACTTTATATAGGGTCATTTGAGGCCATTTGAAAAAAAAACATGAGAAGTGCTAAAATAGCAGATTCCCAGCAATTTCAGCATGCAAAAGAAATTTATCAGGCTAGGCTGGAGAATCTTTTTCTACTGGAAGAGTACAAGACCTTCTGTTAACCCACAGTTGGGAATAATGGCAGTGAAGAATTTACTCACTGGTAGAAGATTAGAAAATTAGGGACTTTATGACCATAACCCAGGCCTGATTTCTAATACATCTATTTGCTTCTTGCTAAACTCCACACTCCTGGCACAGCTTCATAATAGTTAGACAATTATGCCTTCATCTTAGGGAATTCCTGAGGATTGACAATGTCTGGCTTCCTGCCCAGTTTGAAAGGCTCTAGAATGCTGATTAGACCAATGTGTGATCTGCACACTCTATCATGTATGGGACAGGTGGTTCTTGAAATATTGGGTACATATTTGGAGATTTGTGTACTCTCTTCAGCACTTCAACTTCCCCTGAGCACATTCCTGGTCAAATCACTGGAAGTGCTGGCTGTCCTCATGAACTAGCCTTCTCCTTCTTCTTCAGTTACAAGCCAGGGTTTACCATGAATTGGTAGGGATGTTTGACCTTTCAGGTTAGCTTTGAGGACATTCCTCAAATGTTTCAGCCATCATCTTAGGAGACCTCTGCTATGACTGTAAGTAGCTGTAACTGGAACTCCAAGTAGAACAATTGCAATGAGGAGTCTGGTGTCAGGAATTTGAATGATGTGACCCACCAGCAGAAACTGTTCTTTAGTGATTAGCATCTTGATGCTGGGCAGGTTTACCTGCTACTAATCCATACAGATCCCAGATTTGATCCTTGGTGAGAAGAACTTTACATGGTGTTTACATGGTGTAACCAAATTAGTATAATATCCGTAACACTCATTATTGCCTCATAACTGTATTGGTCAGTGCATTGAGTTTAGGAGTTGGGAGGTCATGTTGCAGCTATACAGGACGTTGGTTAGGTCACTTTTGGAATACTACAGGAAGGATTTTGTGAAACTTGAAGGGGTTCAGAAAAGATTTACAAAGATGTTGCCAGGGTTGAGGGTTTGAGCTATAGGCAGAGTCTGAATAGGCTGGGGCTATTTTCCCTGGAGCATTGGAGGCTGGCGGAGGTGACATTATAGAGGTTTATAAAATCATGCGGGACGTGGATAAGGTGAATAAGCAAGGTATTTTCCCTGGGGTGGGGGAGTCCAAAACTAAAGGGCGTAGATGAGAGAGGAAAGATCAAAAAGGGCCTAAGGGGCAACTTTTTCACACAGAGGGTGGCATGTATATGGAATGAGCTGCCAGAGGAAGTGGTGGAGACTGGTACAATTACAACATTTAAAAGGCATCTGGATGGGTATATGAATAGGAAGGGTTTAGAGGGATGTGGGCCAAATGCTGGCAAGTGGGGCTAGATTAATTTAGGATATCTGGTCGGCATAGATGAGTTGGACCAAATTGCCTGTTTCCATGCTGTACATCTCTATGACACTAATTACTGCTGTTTGTTATATATGAATAACACCAACAGTTATAGAATGTCAAAGTTTGCAGATGACATGAAACCTAAATGTAATAAACACTGAGGAGCAATGTTTCCTCCAAGTTCTGTGGCCGTGCACACCGATCAGTGTGCCAACGCATCGACTTTTGGAATTTCAGAGTCACTGCCATTCATGAACCTTGGAGGTCTGTACAGAAGAAAAATAAGCAGAGGTATATAGCTGAGGAGGCTAGTAACAGACTTCAGAAAGGCAGACAAACTGGCAAATAGGAAGATGAAATTTAACAGAGATGTGTAAAATGATGCATTTTGCACAGGATGAATGAGGCAGTTTATAAACTCAATGCTACAATTTTAAACATTGCTTGGAAAGGTGATGGAAACAGATTCAATTTTAACATTCATTATGGAATTGAAAAAGTACCTTTACAGGGCTACGGGGAAAGAGCAGGGAAATGAGACTGATTGAATCGTTTGTTCAAAAGATTTGGCACAGGTTTAATGGGCCAAATAGTCTTGTTTGTGCTACATCATTCTGTAATTCTATGAGAATCAAGAGCAATATCTGCCAAATATTTCTTGACAAAAGAGAACACTGTGCATTTTTCTGGAAGAAAACCTTTAAGCACTTCTCTTTTCACCTAATTATATTACTTCAAAGACTAGTCAGCAATTTGTTCTTTCTCTTCAGATATTCATATTAAAATCCAGCCCAGGAAAAGGGGAAATTTCATCTCTCTGTCAGGGATATGGAGCAGTTTAGCCCTAATTCTTAGTGTCTCCATTCAATCTGGTTCAAATTGGTAATCTCACTCAGAAATTTGGACATCAGAAATAACAGTTGAGGGTGATCTGAGGTTAAGGTAATGATAGTAATAAAGGAGATAGTAAGAACTGCTGATGCTGGAGTCAGAGATAACACAGTGTGGAGCTTGAGGGACACAGCAGGCCAGACAGCATCAGAGGAGCAGGAAAGCTGACGTTTCGGGTCGGGGCCCTTGTTCAGAAATGTTCTTCAGAAAACCCGATTTCTGAAGAGGGGTCCTGACCCGAAATGTCAGCTTTCC